CTTCCTTGCGAGAATATCTCCAAGCAGTTTACTCACTCTTTCAGGCTGCAGTGCAGTGTCAGGTTTCTCTCTGGTTTCACCTGTGGTTCTCCCGCGGCAGTAGACTCATCTCTTGATGGGTTTGTCTTTCATTGTAGTTGTTTCTGAGCAGGTCTGTGTGCGGCTTGTACTGGCAACACTTCTCGATGCGGCGATTTCTGACTTGCCCCCACCGTCATTCATTACCTTGGAAACACATTTTGGGTAATTTCTCAGTGGAATGTGGCATTTTCTGGCCATTCGTTTTAATAGTTAGGCTCTCTAGTCGTCGGATCTTAAAGTTAACATTTAGTCTGTCTTCGGGTCTGCTCTGTGTTTGGATTCAGAGCTACTGGTTTATTATTTGATTGCTTTTCTCCCTCTGGTATTTGTCTTTTCCTCCTTTTATGCCTTATTTTGTGTTATTTCAATATATTTTTAGAAGTCCATTGTAGATATCTGTTGGCTTTTTTAATCCTCATCTGCGGACATGCTTATTGATTTTTAGAGAGGAGAAGGGAAAGAGGGAGAGAAAAATTGATGTAAGAGAGAAACGTTCATCAGTTGCCTCTCTTATATGTCCCAACTGGAGATCAAAGTTTCAACCTAGGCTTGTGCCCTGACTCAGGAATCGAACCCACAACCTTGCAGTTCACTGGATGACACTCCAGCCAAGTGAGCCACACCAGCCAGGGCTCTATCAACATTTTAATGATGCGTTGTTTTTCTTCTGTTTTTGTCCTAGGGATTGCAGTACACATTTAATTTCATGGTTTACTTAGAGTTAATATTTAGCAAAAACACAGATCGATCTACCTCTCTGTTCCTCATCCTTTAAGTCAGGGTTTCTCAACCTGGACACTATTAACATTTTGTTGGCGGAACTGCCCTGTGCATTGCAGTATGTTAACGGCATCCCCATCCTTTACCCACTAGCTGCCAGCATCACTCCCAAAGAGATCCAGACATTACCAGTGTCCCCCGAAAGGCGAAATCCCCCCAGGCTGAGGACCTCTGCTTTAGGTTACAGATGTCCTGTGTGTCATACCTGCCTTTGTTTTAAACCCACCAGTGTTGAAATGTTTTACTTAAAGTAGTCATATGTATTTTAAAGAAATTAAGTGGAAAAATCATTTTATAATTTTTCTAATTTGCGATTTCTAGTGCTCTCCATTTCTTTCTGAAGTACTGAATTTCTTTCTGGTGTTGATTCCTTTCAGGTGGGAGAACTTGTGTTTAGCATTTCTTGTAATGTAGGTCTGCTGGTTATAATTGGTTTTATCTGAAAAAGTCTTTAGCCTTCATTCTGAGTTGCATCTTCACCTGAGCTATAATGGACACTCAATTATTGCGGTTCCAACTGGAATATACACACACACACACACACACACACACACACACACATTTTTTTGTTTTTTGTTTTTGTTAAGAAAGAAAGAAAAAAATGCAGCCCTGGCCAGGTTATCTCAGTTGGTTGGAGCATTGCCTGATATGCCAAAGTTACAGATTTGATCCTTGTTCAGGACACATGCAAGAAGCAACCAATGAATGCACATATAAGTGGAACAATAAATTCATATTTCTCCCACCCCCTTCTCTTCCCCTTCCTCTCTCTTTTGTAAAATCAATAAAGAGAAATTTTTTTAAAAAAAAGAGCCAGCCATGTGGGGGAGGAAACTTGTGTCCCGCTGCATTTCCTCGGCATGACTGGATGCCATACTGCCCTTGTTGAACAACGGCTTTTTAATTCTTTTCACACATCCAGATAGTCACCTAGTATCTCCAGAGCAGCTGTTAATCACCAAGCACCATACTATGCTCAGGGGACAGGTTGGTGTACATTTTAATGGAAGGAGGCATGAAATAATCACATAGGTATTTAACAAGTAAAAATTTCAGATGGTCAGAAATATGGATAAAATAGGACATGGTAAATAGATAGAGGTGACCAAGATGTAAAGTGCTACGCTGTAGCTGCTTTAGATGAGGTGGTCAAGAAATGCCTTTGGGAAGATGCCAGCCATGCAGAGGGAAGGGCGTCCCATGCAGAGGAAAGGTCAAGGACCGTAGTAGCCTGGAGAATAACATGGGAAATCCTTGGAGGGGCTTCAGCAAGAAGGCACATAGTTAAAATACTGAGTTCTACCTTTGTGGGGACACTCTAAAAATTATACATCCCTCACTCCACTTAACCCTCATCATAACCCTGTTACCTTCTCCAAGATATCAAAAAGCAGTGGCTGAGGTACTTTGTCCCAGTCAGCAAAGGAGTCAGGAGTCATACCCAGACAGCCTGGACTCCAGAACCTACCCATCTAACCACATCTAAAACCACCTCCAGAAAGCACATCCAGGTCTTTATGCCAGTTGTGTGGTCAGAGATTGAGCCCATCTAATTCTTTTTCAGGTGTACAAAAGAGCCAAGGCACTGGACCAGTCTGACAACGATATGTCTGCCGTGTACCGGGCCTACATACACTAAGCCCCCACTCCCCTAATCTTTCCTCTGACCCCTTTTTCATCACATGGGGTTGAGGTCCTGGCACTTCACTCTGGACCAGTCCACCTGTCTTGATCTCCTTTTATACAGACTTTGAGACCTGCCATCAGCACAGCACACAGCATTACTCTTCCCTTGAAGGTCTTGGGAAGGGGAGAGGTGTCAGCAGGATTGGTCAGCCTGTGGCAAAGCTCTTGAGCTGGGCACTGGCCCACAAACCAGGTGGCTCTGTATACACACACATACACAACACACACACACACACACACACTGGCTCTTATTCCAGGATAGAAGCTGCCCAGAAACTGCTGCCTGGCTTTTTTCCCCTTCTCTCAAGCTTCTCTTATCTCAGACCCCTTCCAGTCAAGGAACTAGAACCAGCAGTGAGAACTGGAAGCCTTCCCATTGCTTCCCTCAGCAAAGAGGCATGGTCATGTTCACATTCCCCACTGGATGGATCCCTTGTGGAGCGATGCTGTGGGTCAAGATGAACCAACACAGACTAAATGGAGGATCCTGTGGGCCCTCCAACCTCAGGTGCCCAGCTGATGAGGATTGTCATGTTTAAGCTACCAACGTGCAACCAACTCTCCAGAAATGCCTTTGTGAACTGAAAAGAGATTGGCAAAGTCAAGCAAAGACAGGGCTCTGGCTTTCCGGGGAGAGCAGCAGTCAGCCTGTAGGTAGGCTCATAGAAGCCTACTCTCCCTCAACTGCTCTTCAGTACTCATCCTAGAAGTTGCCATCACTATGGAACCCTGGGCTGGGATCGGACTTCTTTGCTTTGGTGTAGGGAGAGCTCTTTCTTCAACAGGCTGTTTTAGTATTTGGATTTGCATCCCAGCCTGTGGGAAGGGATTCCTGAGGGCCATCAGTGAGGAGGGGAGGAAAGGGCTCCTTCCTGTTTCCGTTATGCCACAGACTGCACCTGGTTCTGAAGAGCCTCAGTCCCAGGTGCCCTTGCATTGGTCCCACCTTCTCCAGCCCCTGTACAAGTCCTCTGCATGCCCACCTCTCCATTCTCCTCCCTTTCCCCTTTTCCTCCCATAGAGAGTATTTCTTCCTGTCTCTCCCTTTGGCCCAGACCCAGCCTGACCAGTGATGACCATTTCTTAGGCTCAGCTCTTGAAAAGGAATGAGTATCTTCACTTCAGCCAGCAGCTTGGTCTTCGGTGCTTCCAGGGCCCTGGGGTCTGTCAGGAGGGAAGAGGAGAACTGGGCCTGACTGAGCCTGAACTAACCAGCCCCCAGAGGTGGATCCAAGGCATCCTTGAGGATCTAGTATTTCTCCTTGGATAGGGGACCAGAGGGGCTTGGAATGTGGCATAAGAACAAGGAGGTCACCTAAAGGATGTCATTGTCTGCCTCTGCATGGGTTCTTTTCAAAGTCACACTTTGTTGCCAGAAGGTCAGCATTTATAGTGAATATATATAATTATATTAAAAAAATGAGGTGGCCACACTGGTGTGGGTCCCTTCCCCTCACAACTTTGGTCTTTTTCCACTGATCAGAACCCAAGTTTTGGGGTCTCAGAGGACATGCGGGGAGGGCAGGGAAAATGCCTGTGATTTTTGGCACAGTTGATTTCACTGGGATTTTGAATTCTGACTGAACACAAAGCCTGTTATAGTCCTAGCTGGACACTTGGGGGTGGGAGTGGGGAAACATGCTGTAATGAAACTGGTTAGTCAATGTTGTCTTAATATTGTTGGCAATTCTGTAAAGTTCCTTTTTTATTAATATTTCTGTTTAAGCTATCTCATGTTTGTTTTGAAATCCTTTCCTCTTAAAAAGAAAATGTGACACTTGTGAAAAAGCTTGTAAGAAAGCCCTTCCTGCCACCCTTTTTTCCCCAACAAATCTGGTAATTAAGGTTGTGAATTTTTATTTTTGCTTTGTTTTTAATGAACATGTCTTTCAGAATAGAAATGTGTGATGATGTTTAAATGGCAAAAGAAAAAAAGATTTTTGTGCAATTAACAAAAGGCTACTGCAAGCAGAATAAAACGTTTCTTGGTAACACAGCTGTGACTGACAACCTTGGCGGTGGCCTGCACCCAAACACCAACCCGCCCAGGAGTGGAGGGAAGAAAAGGGTGGAGGTTAACTTTAAGGGGCCGCTGCTCTGGTGAGGCCCAGCCAGAGCCTGTTACCACCTCGACCAATCGGTGGGCGGGGCAAGAGCGAGCCAGTCCTTCGGCCAATGGAGCGCAAGTGTGTAAAAATACCCTATCAGAACCCGGAAGAGGCGGGTCGACGGCCACAGCCCACCAGCTGAAGCGAGGCGACTCGACAACTAGCGGCTCCCCGAGGGCGTCCCCAATGAGCCCAGCTGGAGAGAATAGTTATACCCAGCCAGTCAGGTTCCAGCCGGGGTGGAGTGGGTATCCTCTCAGCCAATCAGCATTGTGAGAAGGTGGTTAAGGGGTGGGATTGGTTCCCTGCAGCCAATAGACAGTGGGGGTGGGCCCAGGCGCAGAGTTGACAGAACGGCCTGGGAGGACCGCTTACCCGAGAGTCCGTAGCTGAGCAGCCAGGGGCAGCCATGGCGGCTGCAATGGCAGCGACAACGGTGGAGCGTGCTGTGCTGGTGAGGTGCACAATCCGGTGTGGCGGGGTTGGGGCGGCAGGTCCGGGTGTCTGACAGCGGCCTGTCCCGGCAGGAGGAGGAATTCCGCTGGCTGCTTCACGACGAGGTGCACGCTGTGCTGAGACAGCTGCAGGACATCCTAAAGGTAACGCCTCGCGGGGCGGTCACAGACCTTTGCGCGCTCCCAGCCTCCCCTGACGGGCTCCTTCCCTTGGGTGGCCTCGCCAGCCTCCCTCACGCTTGCTGTGTTCTTGATGTGGGATGTTCAAACGCGGTTTTGTCGTCAGTGGACTTGGAGCCTAGTCGGGGACACCAGAAGGTACTTACCCGTTTCTCCAAGCAGCCATGGGAGTGCCGCGGACCTGGGATGAGCCCCGGGGTCCGGACGGCGAAGGTCTTCTTTGAGGCAGTGGCATTTAATCTGAGATCAAGGACCCCAACATGGTGACATGAGCCAAGTACTCAGTCTCTCTGGGCCTCCTTTTTATCCTTTACAAAAAGGATGTAACGGTATGTGCCTCACAGTGCTGTCGTGAAGATAAGCCAGTCAACTCACAAATAACTGGGCCTTGCCTGGTATGACCGGAATTGCGAGTTGTCATGACTACCGTTGTTCCCTGACCCTATTCTTCACACCTGAGCACCTTGACCGACCTGGGAAAGTATTCCTGTTCTATACCGCCTTGTGGACACTGTAGGTGCTCAGGGAATAGGGAAGGAGTAGGCATTGCCTCCGGTAAGACCTGAAATTCAGGCCATGGGGGAGGAGTCGGAGAAACAGGAAGGTGCCCTGGAGGCTTGATAAAGTGTCCCTGTGAGGCCAGCCCACCTGTTCTCTCCTAGCCAACCCGGGAGGGGGGCTTCTGGAAGGAGCACTGGACTGGATTGAGTGAACTTTGCCCCACTCCCCTCTGCCCCCCAGGAGGCCTCTCTCCGCTTCACTCTGCAGGGCTCAGGCACGGAGGGGCCTGTCAAGCAAGAGAACTTCATTCTGGGCAGCTATGGGTGAGCCGTGGCTCTGCGGAAACCCCTGGGATGGGCTCCTTAGGAGGGTGGGACACCCGGGCTGGAACATCCTGTGACAGCCAGCCAGAAGCAGCCCACTGGGATGGCTGGGTGTTAGGAGGGATTAGCTTCAAGTTCTGCTCTGACCCCAATGTGTTGTAGCACTGACCAGGTGAAAGGCGTGCTGACTCTGCAAGGGGACGCGCTGAGCCAGGCGGTGAGTCCTGGCCCCTCCCCCCTTTCCTTGTTGCTGGAGAAGCCAGTGAGGAAGAGCGTGGGAGCCTCCTGCTTAGCTCTGCCACCAGCTGGCTGTGTGACACTGGGCAGGATCCTTGATCATTCTGAGCCTTAGTTTCCTTATAAAATGACAAGAACCCCCAACCTTTTCATGAGATTGGTATGTGGTTTCTGTAAGACGTGTAGAAAGGGGATGCTTTGTAAATGGTCCGCCCCTGAGTCAGGGCCCAGTGAAGCACGGGCATTGGCAGGATTAGGCTGGCCCCAGATCAAAGTGGAATCAGCCAACAACAGAGCTCCATCTGCACCTAACCCTGTGCCAGGTGCCAGGGGGTGGGGGAAGGTCCCTCTCCTTCACAGGTAGGTGTTCAGTCCATTGGCCTGTGCAGATATTCTGTCTCCCCAGTCACAATACTTCTCCCAGTCAAGGCCACCTTCCCCATTCTTGGTCTCTTTCCTTTTCATTTGTTTGTGATTTTTCTTGGGCCTGAGTTCCTGTTTCCTGACCTCCCTGTTCACCCCCAAACGGCCATGATGTTGGGAGTCCATCCCCCTACCCCCTGGAAGTGTCTGGGGCCTAAACCACCACTAGTTCAGCCCCCCAGCTTAAAGGCTGAGTAACCAAAAGCCTAAGGACATCCCTTTGCCCAGTTTATCCCCCTCTCACCCATCAGGACGTGAACCTGAAGATGCCCCGGAACAACCAGTTGCTGCATTTTGCCTTCAGGGAGGACAAGCAGTGGAAGTTACAGCAGGTAACCAGGACCTTCCCTGACCAGAGCTCAGGCCACAAGAGCAGGCAGAGGCAGGCAGAGGCAGGCAGAGGCAGGCAGGCCTGCACAGTGGTACCAAGGCCTCCAGGGGCTGGACACGGAGGATTTGCTACTACAGCAAGCCTGGTACAGTGTCTCCTAGCAGCAAAGCTGGGGTGGGTGGGGCCTGGGGCTCCAGAGACTAGCTTTGTGGGAGGTGAATCTGTCTGTGCTCCCCAGCCAAAGCCACAGGAACTTCCCCCTGAACAAGTCACTCCCTTCCCATGCTTCCAGGGGGTTCCCATGGCTCTTGAGGACAAAATCCATGCTCCCTCCCAGCTCCACTGGGCCCCAGCTTTTTCACCCCCACAACTGGCTACCAGCAGTCTCCACCTCTGGGCCTTTGCTCATTTTTGTCCCACTGCCTGGAATCCTCTCCACCAGCTTTTCTCATGACAAGAGTTATGAATGTCAGCTCAAAAGTCACCTCCCTGAGGCCTCCTCTGACCACCATATAAAGAGGCTCCCTGATCTCCCTTCATTACCCTGTTTATTCTTTTGTGCAAGGCACGCAGTCTGTTATCTTGTGCCTTTACTGTGCTACCATCTGTCCTTCTTTAGAAAGTGAGCTACATGAGGCCAGGAACCAAGCCTGCCTTAGTCTGTGCCTTGTCCAGAGCACCCAGCCAGGGCAGGAAGCACATAGTTGTGGAACTATGGGGAAAGTGTCAGGCAAGCAGCACCCACCCACCCACCCCTCCAAGGATGACAGCCCTTCAGCGTGTGGGTGCATGGGCCAGAGCTGTGAGACCATGGCCGCTGCGAATCTGGCACACCTCCCTGCTGGGCCCCAGCCCGCTGACCACAGAGTGGCACTATTTTCAGATCCAGGATGCCAGGAACCACGTGAGCCAAGCCATTTACCTTCTCAACAACCGGGATGACAGCTACCAGTTCAGGACAGGAGCAGAGGTTCTTAAGGTGAGCTGCCTACAGGGATAGGGGAGCCAAGTTCCCCACACCCAGCCCTGACCTCTGACCGGGTCCCTGGAGTGCTCTGCCCCCACGTCCTCAGGTATAGCTGACAGTTGATTCTTCACTTCTCAATGCACACATGTCTGTCCAGCCACAGTCAAATGGCTCACAGCTCCAGAATCAGGCCTGGGTTCTGATTCCAGGGCCTTTGCTATAAGCTGTTCAACCCCAAGTCACTTACTTAGCCACTCTGTGCCTCAGTATCATTCCCTGTAAAAGGGGACAAGATATAGTGACTACTAACTGATAACGCAGGTAAAGCAGCCCCTTGTGCTTCGTAAATAGTAGCTACTAGTAGTAGTACTAACAATAGGAAGAAGGGGAAAAAAAAAAGTCAGTTCACAAAGCGTGGAGGAAAAACTTGAGTCTGGATGCCCAGATTTGCTGTGTGTCCTTACCTCGTTCACCTACCCTCCCTGGACCTCTGATTCTTCATATGAAACTTGTAACTTGATGGACTATGAGGAGGTCCCTTCCAGAACTGTGACTGCCCTGGGGGGTATAAGCTATGGCCCATATGCCTCCACCCAACAGTTTTGCCTAGGTCACCCTAGTACCCACAGCCGCAGCTGGAAGTGGTAGAAGCTGGGCCTCTGAGTCCAAGCCAGGGCTCTGGTCCATGGTAAAGGAAAGGGATGAATTCTGCATAGTTCCACTGTTCACTAGCTATGTGACCTTGCCCTTCAGAGTCTCAGTTTTTTCACCTGTGGAAATGGGGTTGGTACCTGACTTAAGGCATCAACTCAACTGTCTCATTGCTTCCTCCAGGAAGCTCTCCCTTGCCCTTTCTACCCTAGCTAGGTCAGGACCCCTTCTACGTTCCTTTATTGCCTCTACTCCCACCTGCCAAGCCCTCATGCCCTTGGGACTTAACTCCTGGAATCTCATTTCCCATTGGACCCACCCCTAGAATCCCATGCAATGCAAGCTCCTGGATGGGTGGTTCACTGGACATCCTGCCCTCCTCCCCCAGCTGGAGCCCAATTACCTGCATTTTTAACAAGCCCCCAACTTTAGGATACAGTTCCAGCTCTGAGACCAGGACCACCAAGTCAGGAGCTGGGAGCTACCCTACTTTGTTGCTCCCCAGTGCTGAGGTGGGGGGGATGGGATCAGAACCAGGCCCGCTGCCCTCACAGTAGCTGTGACCAGCTCCCTCCCCCTAGTTGATGGACGCTGTGATGCTGCAACTGACCAGAGCTCGCAACCGGCTCACCACTCCAGCCACCCTCACTCTGCCTGAGATTGCCGCCAGCGGCCTCACGGTCAGTGCCTTGGTCCAGGAGAGTGGGTCCCCTAGAAAAGGGACACAGGGGTGCCCCAGATTGTCATCAGTAGGAGTTCTGTATCTATGCAGTTTTCTGGGATAGCGTCCTCAGCTTTCATCCTGTGAGCCCCCCACCCCAAATACAGCACCCTTGGTCTGAGTCAGTGGTTTCTAAGCCTGGCAGAGCAGGAAGTTACCCAGGCACCTGGGAAGAGTCTAGATGCCCCAGTTTGTAAGATGAGGGCAGAGATGTGGTTCTTGGGGGACTTCTGCCTGCACTGCCCTTATCCCGCCTGCCTGCCCACCCCCCAGCGTATGTTTGCCCCTGCGTTGCCCTCCGATCTGCTGGTCAACGTCTACATCAACCTTAACAAGCTCTGTCTCACCGTGTACCAGCTGCACACCCTGCAGCCCAATTCCACCAAGGTGAGCAGGACCCTGCCAACCCCCAACCCCTCACTTCCACCAGTGCATGCCCTGCAGCCCCAAGGGCCTGACCAGGGCTGGTGCTCTTCTGCCTAGAACTTCCGCCCAGCTGGAGGCTCTGTGCTCCACAGCCCTGGAGCCATGTTGTAAGTATGCTGTTGGGAGAGGTGTCCTTGAGCGCCCTCTGCACCTCAGAGGCTGGGGGGCTCAGGGACCCATGTCGCCCTGCAGTGAGTGGGGCTCCCAGCGTCTGGAAGTGAGCCACGTGCACAAAGTGGAGTCTGTCATCCCGTGGCTCAATGATGCCCTTGTCTTCTTCACCGTCTCCCTACAGCTCTGCCAGCAGCTCAAGGATAAGGTGGGGACATGGGGGTGGTGAGGTCTGGGCTGATCAGTCTTAGACACATGAGGCCAGCCCAGCAACAGGCTGCTTAGACCCTTAATTTGGGGGGTATTCCAAGGCCTCTTGTCTCACCTCCAAAGCACCTCCAAATCTTAAGGCCTTTTGTGCCCTCTGCACACACCTGCCAGATGGGCTGCTGGGCGACAGTGCCTGCTCCCTGACACATTGCCCTTGGATAATCTTGAACTCTCACCTGAGTCACAGGGTCCAACAGGGGCCAGGCCCCCCAGCACCACCACTCACCATGTCCCCACAACCTTCCTCCCTTCCTAGATCTCGGTGTTTTCCAGCTACTGGAGCTACAAGCCTTTCTAAGCAGAGCACCCAAGAGCTGTTTCCCCTGAGAAGTGGCCCCTACCCGGGGTGTCCCCATCCCCACCACACATGCCCCTTGGATTACAGGCCAGAGCCAGCACAATGGGCAATTGACTTCCCTTCTTGCCTGTTCTGCCCATCACACTTGCACAGATGGCAGTGAACACAGGAACCTCGGGGATAAAGGGAGGCTGACTTGCTTTTTGTTCTGGATCGGGGAGGGTCAGAAAGGTGGGGTCAAGAGGTGGCCCACATTCCAAGCCTTGCACTTTGGACTCAAGGTGGAGCCCAGCCCAGGGCACTCCTTCCTTCCTGCTGAGCTGCCCCCCTGGGATGATGAGGGGCAGCCACACATCCCCTCCCGCTGGAAGGTGAGGGGTGGGTGGTGACCCTAAGCTGTGAATAGGGAAGGAAGGAGGAGGAAAGGGCAGGCAGAGGCCACCTACCCTGAGCTGGGGTGCCCTTGACTGTTTATTCAGCAACCCCACCAGGGTCTCCAAGAAATAAAGATTATCCAATTTTGCCTGGACATCTGTCTTGTCTGTCTGGGTGGGGACCAAACTGGGGGGTCCCTGATTGTCAGGAGCTGGATGGAGTTCCCAGTGACTGAGCCCCTGGCCCATCCACACTGCCTTCGGGAGAGTCCCGGCTGCTGAGGGGCTGAGTAGAATGGTGACAAGGTCTTTTCCTGGAGGTTAGGGCCCCAAGTTTGAGCCCAGCTTCCCCTCCCATTGGTAGTTCCTGAGTGACCTCCAGCAACTTAATAAGATTTCCTGGTGACAGTCATGCTGGCTGAAGTCTATGAGGAACCAGGTGGGCACCGGATGGAGCAGTGCCTGCCTGCAATGCTCACCCCTTGATGAGAGGTTAGAACATAACACGCTTCAGACTCAAGCTCTGGGCAAATGAGACCTTGTTACTGTTACCCAGCAGGGCATTCGGGCAGGGGGGCTGGAAGACTCGCCCCATTAAGGTTCCAGAGCCAAGTTATTCACTCCCATGGCGTCTACCTGTAAGAGAGGCACAGGGGATCTGGTGGGCTTCAGTTCCCTGCCAACCCCCGTCTAGAGGAAGCCCAGCAGCTTCACCTCAGTGCGGTTCCAGGCCGTGAGTCTCAACTGCTTAGTTCTCACCTTCTTGGATCTGGAGGAACGGTAGCAGCAGCAGCAGTGGAGGCAAGCGAGCAGCAGCAGGAGCAACACGGTGCCTAGGGGTGGGACAGGTGTCCAGACACGGCCCTCTGACTAGGGCCTGGCATGTGAGGCTGACAGTCCAGAGGCAGAGATCACACTCACCCAGGAAGAGGAGAAGGACGATAAAGGCAGCCGTGTCCCATGTGGACTGGAATGGTTGGTGGCTCCTCAGTTTCCCCAGCACCTCCGCGACTGTGGACTCCAGCTCCTCCAGGTTGTCCATCTCAGCTGGAGGGTTATGGGCGCCACCTGCCTTAGCCCCACAGGGAGCCCCTTAGAGCCCTGGGCTCCTCTGGGGCTGGGCCGCATATGGGCCTCCCACAGTCCAGTCCTTGTCCCTTTCACACCTTCCCTCTGGGCCCCAGTTCCTGCCCCAGGCTCTCTTCCACTCTTCTTGCTCATCCATTCTCTTGGCTCTGAACCTGGTCTGGGCGGCCCCTTCCCCTTCCCAGCCCCCCAGCAGCCCCACACCTAGACCAAACCTGCCTCAGAGATCGCCAGCCAGGCAGGTCCTAACTCCTGGGAGCACAGACTGCTTCCTGCTTCCGGATCCACTGTATCTGAGGCCTTGGCAACCAGCTCCACTCCCCAGGGGCCGTTGGAGGTCAGGGGAGGGTGGGGCCTGTGTCCCAGCAGGTGTGCTTCCCGCCCGTGACACTGTGGGACTCGGGAGGAGGCCACAGGCTTGTCAGCCTCCTCATCCCAGGGCGCTTCCACTTTTTCTCAGTAGCTCATACAAGCAGGCCAGGACAGTGGGCACTAGGCTGCTGTTGACCTCATAAATGAAGAAAAGACAAAAACGGAGGGAGGAAGGAAGGTAAACAGGATAAAGGGGAAGGGAGGGAAGGTGAAGTTGTGTCCATTCTACTGCCCTTCCTTGGGCAGCTGGGGTGTGCCTGACACTGTACCAGGAGTCTTGGACGCCTATTTTATCTGTTCTAATCCTTACAATAACCCTCTGGTTATCTCTCCAGTAAGCTTTTTCGCAGAACTCGGGGCCTGAGGCCCCTGACCCTGCCAGCCCTGACCCTGTCCAGTGAGGCAGCTCTCACTCCTGCCTTCGTGCAGAGCAGACGTGTCCAGGTCCACTAGGGGCCAGAGACTGCTCGGCACTTGAAGTTGGCTATAAACGAGGAAGACTCAGGTTCTTGTTCTTGTGGTGCTTATGGTTTAGCAGGGGGAAACATATCAGCTAATGTAAGGCTCTACAAACAACATTACCTAATTTATTTCCCATGGCAATCCTACAGCAGGTATTATTGCTATTTCCATTTGACAGATGTGAAAACTGGGGCCTTGAGAACCTCAGCTACCAGCTCAAGTCACACTTCTAATGGATTCTTTTCTTTTCTTTTTTTAAAGAATGTTTTATTCATTTATTTATTTTTTTAAAGATTTTATTTAGTTATCTTTAAAGGGGAAGGGAAGGAGAAAGGGGCAGAAATATTAATGTATGATTGCCTCTCATGCATCCCCTGCTGGAAACTGGCCTGCAACCCAGGCATGTGCCCTAACTGGGAATTGAACCACGATCCTTTGGTTCGCAGGCCCGCACTCAATCCACTGAGTTACGCCAGCCAGGGCTGTTCATTTATATTTAAAGAGAGAAAAAGAAAGGGAGAGGAATATTAATGTGTGGTTTTCTCTCACGAGCCCCCCACAGGGAACCTGGCCTGCAACCCAGGCATGTGCCCCGACTGAGAATCGAACTGGCAAACCTTTGGTTTGCAGGCTGGTGGTCAATCCACTAAGCCACACCAGCCAGGGCAAGGATTTGTTTATTTTTGTTGCTATAATATACTACTGCAAACTTGGTGGCTTAAAACAATACAACTGTATTACCTCACAGCTCTGGAGGTTGGAGTGCAGGTGGGTTGGCAGGGCTGTGTTCCTTCCAGAGGCTCTAGGGGAGAAGCCATTCCTTGCCTTTTCCAGCTTCTGGGGGCCACATTCTTTGGGTCATGCTCCAGCCCCATCACTTTAATTTCTGCTTCCATCCTCACATAGTCTCTGACTCTACCTTCCTGCCTTGCTCTTATAAGGAGCCCCGTCATTACAGTAGCCCCCACGGTCACCTCCCCAGCAAAATTCTTTTCTTTAATTGTACTTTTTTGTTATCATTTATCCCCCTTATACTCCCCTCCCCCCGCAATCACCCCACTGTTGTCTATGTCCATGAGACATTTTGCCTTTTTGCTTGATCTCTCCACCCTTGTCCCCAACAAAATTCTTAATCACATCTGCAAAGACCCTTTTGCCACTTAAGATAACATATTCACAGGTTCCAGGGGTTAGGATGGAAATATCTTAAGGGGCCATGATTTTGCCAGCCACACCCAATGAGCAGAAAAGCCAGAACTGGGACCCAGGCATTCGGCTTCCAGAGCCCGTGACCGTCATGGCACAGGGTTCCCTTTGCTGTGATCCCCATCTCACATCCTACCTTCATTTCCTCCCTCTCGTTCTGAGATCTCAGACTTCTGTCATAGAGGGAGGGTAATTTTAAAATGACTGGAATGTTCTCCTGCAGATGTTCTCTTCAGGGGACAGGTGCGGCCACTGTGAAAAACAGTCTGGCAGCTCCTGGCAACTCCACGCCTGGGTGTACGCCAAGGAGGACAGGAAACAAGTACCGAGGGCTGTACACCACTCTTCACAGCAGTAGCACTCACACCAGCCAAACAGTGGAAACAACCCAAGTGTCTGTCCACTGGTAAATAGATGAAACGTGGTCCATCCGTGCAGTGGAACACTTCACAAGAAGGAATGAACCACTGCCACGTGCTACAACATGGATGAGCCTCAAAAACACGGCGCCACATCATAGGGGCTGGTCACAGAGGCCGCATGTGGTGGGACTCCATCTATGTGAAATGTCCAGAACAGACAAATCCTCAGAGACATGAAATAGTGGTCACCAGGGGATAGGAGATGGGGCGGTGTGGGCTTAGTGGTTGTGAGGTTTCTTTTTGGGGCGATTAACATGTGTTGCAACTAGATATGGGTGGTTTAGCAACATTTCGAATGTACTAAATGCCACTGATCTGTTTCCTACAAAATGGCTACCATTTAATTTCACGTTATGTGAATTTTATCTCTGTTGGAAAAACAGGGAAGGAAGCCCAAAACTGCAACCCCAGCCCCTCCCCCTTAGCCTGGCTGGGTGGTCAGAAGGCCCAGGTCTCCTCCCTCCCCACAGGCCTCACATGGCCCAGACCCCTGGGTTCCCCTTCTCTTGTCTGTCATTCCCATCACAGAAATGAAGCCTTCTCATTAGAGAAAATCTGGGAAACTCCAAGGTGTTAAAAAACAAAACTACCCAAGAAGCCCATAGACCCCAAAAGGGCAATGACGGAGTTGGGGTTCAGGCAGGTCAGACCTCCAGACTTGGACCTGGTCCCAGTTCTTAACACCCACCAGTGTGTGACCTGGAGCACAGTCCTTGACCCCTCTCTGCCTCGCTTTCCTCATCTGTAAGACATGTGTGAGAACAGTATCCCCCAACCCCACTTGTTGTGAGGATTGACCAAAATAATTCACATAAAAGTTTCCGTAAAACAATGACACACACAAGAAAACAGGCACTAAGTGGCCGTGTGTTTATCTCACTCAACTTGTGGCTGTGATTCCCTCCAGTTCCTTGTCCTCAGTGGGCTCACCCGCGAACCTCACACTGCTCAGACCGGTCCACCCTCCAGTTCTCCCAATCAATGTAGCCAAGAGTGTCTTGCAAAATGCCTGCCACTTTCTGCAAACCTGACCCTCCAGTTCACAATCGCTATGGGTACCCACTGAGGCTTTCTTCCCAACATTTCCTGGAACTCTACATCACTCACATGTGATGGTTTTCCTAGAGATAGTGCTTTCTCTGCAGAAAGGCTTATTTCCTTAGGAGGCCTTCCCAGAAGCAGAATGTGCTCCTGCGTAAGGTCAGCGCCCGTGTTCCTGGCACTCTCTGGTCATCTGCACGTGCGTTCTCATTTGCGTTGATGAGGCCAGCCTTGCCGGATCCCTCAAGAGCTGTGCAGCTACAACTGGAGAAAATTTTTTAAAGATTTTATTTCTCTATTTTTAGAAAGAGGGGAAGGGAGGGAGAAAGAAAGGGAGAGAAACATCACTGTGTGGTTGCCTCTCACGTGGCCCCCACTGGGGACTTGGATTGCAACCCACTCATGTGCCCTGACCAGGAATCGAAGCAGTGACCCTCTGGTTCTCAGGCCAGTGCTCAATCCACTGAGCCACACCAGCCAGGGCTGAGAGATCTGTTTTCTGCTGGGAATGGAACCATATTCAGGGCAGGCCCCATCCCAATCCTCCTGCCCCAGGCCCTGCCCAGCCCACTCCCAGCCTCCAAGCCTTGAGAGTGAAGGTTAAGCCTCTTGTCAGGTGTATAGAAGGTGGGGGAATAGAAGACTGTGGGCAGAGAGGGACAAAAGGCTGGTTGGGGCACAAGACAGTTTAAGTGAGTGGATTGGGACAGAGTTGGTAAGTCCCAGTGGATGCAGTGAGGGTCAGTAAATAGTTTTAGTAGCATACAGTCACACCCTTCCCTTTCATTTTCTGCTTTCATAGCTAAAGAGTAATTGCAACAGAGATCTTATGATCTGCAAAGCCTAAAACCTATATACTATCAGAATTATTTATCAGCATCTTAGAGGATTACTTAGGGCTTGCAAATGCAGCTTCCAGGAAACAGGTGAGAAAGAAGTGAGTGTGGTGGACTTGGTGTAAGAAACATCAGGGAGCAGTAGGGATGGGTGAGGACTACGGCAAACTGAAGAGCACATGTCCCAGCCAAAGAGGGCAGCTGGAGTCAGCAGTGGGCTCAGCCCAGAGTTGCCAGGGCTTGCAATCTCTAAGAGACATTAGAAATTTAGATGTTTGTGTGAACAAGTAAAGAGGCTGAAGAAGATGAGCACGTGGCCTCAGATTTCATCTCTGCCACTTCCTCACTGTGTGACTCGATCAACCCCCTTGACTCTCTTATCTATAAACTGGGTGTAGTATCAGCACCTGTTTCATAGGGCTGTGATGATTATTAAACATGTTCCCCTCCTCCGGCCCCATGATCAATAGCATGCTCAGACTAAGTGTGGGGTAAATATTGGCTAAATTAATGCTTTGGTTTTCAGTGCCGCCAATTTAAAACACTATGGTGCCAGCTGTGGATAGACCAAAGAAAATACACAGATGTTCCACTTTCTGGCCCTGGGTCGTAAGTGGGCAGAGTGGTTAAGAGGCATGCACTTGGAGGCCAGGGAGGCTGGCTGAATGAAGCCCAGCTTTGCCACTCGTACCATCTAGGTGACCTTGGGCAACGAAGCCGCCCTGGGCACCTCGGGTTCCTCTCTTTAGTGCTAGGCTAGGATCATTGTGAGGATTACAGGGTAGCGTCCTGAAAAGGCCTGGAGGAGCAGCTTACCTGTCTGTGCCTTCAGGCTCTGCTCCCTACGGTAGGGGACCCCCCCAGTGGGGTCACAGGGAGCAGGTGGGGCTCTGATTCTTCAGTTAACTGTCACCCTCTCCCCTCCCCCTCACTACAAACACCAGAATCTACCAGGACAGGGCACCCCCTAAAGTTCCCACGGGAACCCAGGGCCTCTAGGTGCCACACGAGGCTGCTTCTCTCTTTGTCCCCCACAGGTCTGGCCCCCGGGCTTTGCTGGGGAAGAGTCTGAGAAGAGTCTGCCTGGGCCATAGGTGGGTCGGGAGTGGGAGCTGGGCTAGGGAGGAGCGGGTCCCTGGGACCAGTGAGCACTGGGATGGGCGTTCAGTCTCCCTCCAGAGGCAGCTCTGCAGGGCACCTCTCAGCACACCCCTTGAGGCCTGGGGGGCTTGGGGGTTAGAAAGAGTAGGGCAGTTAACATGGGGGAGTGTCTGGAAGCAGAACTAAGGAGTCGGGGCTGGAAAATGAGAACTGGAGTAGTCTCCCTCTGGGGCCCCAGCAGTCCTCTTCTCCCCACCTCACCAGATGACAGGCACTGTGGTGCCCTTCGCCCCATGGACCCCCTGAGGCGATCCCCCTCTCCCTGCTCATCAAGGCCCTCCAGCCCCAGGACCCCACCCTGCGAGATGTTTGGTTTCGTGGGCATTGAGGCCGTGCTGGACCAACTGAAGATCAAGGCCATGAAGATGGGTTTTGAGTTCAACATCATGGTGGTGGGTGAGTGAGGGGCAGGGGCTCACAGGAGGACAGACTAATGGGCCAGGGCATGTTGCCTCACCTCTTGGGGCCTCTGTCTCCACATTTGTTATAAGGGGGCCTACAGAGGTACCTCACAGGGGTGTTGTAGTGAACATCTGGGAAACACTGAATTGTTAAAGGACAAAAATCACCCACAAAACCCCAGCCAAAAACAAACGGCAATCAAAGGGGAGGCTGAGGCAGGACCTGGTGCATGCTCACAGGCAGATCCTGGTCCTGGCCCTACACTCACCAGCCCACCAGTGTGTGGTCTCGGGCACAGTCCCTGACCCCTCCCTGTCTCAGTTTCTTCATTTGCCTGAGCACAGTGCCCGGGGTCTCATTGGTCCTCCATGTGTTGGTTTATCTGGAATTGCTTTTTTATACATGCCCAGTTAATTTTGTAGGTCAAAAATTAATTTAACAAAACAAACTAGAGATAAGTCCCAAAACATCAGAGTGTGTACCACCAGTTAAGGGTGTCATTCTACGGCAGCAGTATAAAAGAAATGTAACATGAGCCACATATGTAATTTTTACATTTCCCAGTAGCCACCTTTAAAAAAGTAAAACAGGAGAAGTTAATTTAATCATCTATTTGATATAACCCAATATACTCCAAAATGCTATCATCTCCACATGTACTCTGTGTAAAAATTATGGACCTTTTACATTCTTTATGTCCTGCCAAGTTGGCAAAACCTGGTTTCAGTTGAGAGCACATCTCAATTCAGATCTGCCATTTTGCAAGTTGCAGTAGCAGGTGTGGTTGGTGTGTTGGACAGCACAACCCTAAGGACAATTTAAGTAATATACAGAAAGGCATGTCCTGCAATATAAAGTAGAATGTTTCCTACTGGGGGACACAGTCCACACAGTTGGAGAAGCACCTCACACCCCACAGCCAGGATGGGTGAATCTCACCAAGTAGCAAAAGAAGCCAGACACAAAAGAGCACATGCTGGGTGATACTCTAGATCAAGGGTGAGCAGAGCTGCACCCTGTTGATAGAAGTCAGGGGAATGGCTGTCCCTGGAGGACTGTGTTAATAGTCACTGAGATGGGGGCATGAGTAGGCTTGGGGGGAGCTGAGTGTTCTATTTCATGATCTGGTACTGTGTATATGGGTTGTTTAGTTTATAAAAACTTGTTGAACTCCCCATCAATAGTTGAATGGTTAACCACACTGTGGTCTGTCCATCCAATGGAATATTATTTGGCCATGAAAAAGAATGAAGAGGTGATATATACTACAGCATGGATGGGCCCTGCCTGGTGGGGATCAGTGGATTGAGTGCTGGCCTATGAACAAAAGTGTTGCTGGTTCAATTCCCAGTCAGGGCACATGCCTGAGTTTCAGGCCAGGTCCCCAGTGTAGGGTGTGTGAGAGCCAACCACACACACTGATGTTTCTTTCCTTCTCTTTCTCCTTCCTTTTCCTCCTGTCTAACAGTAAATAAATAGATTAGCCCTGGCTGGTGTAGCTCAGTGGATTGAGCGTGGGCTGCAAACCAAAGGGGCGCCAGTTCAATTCCCAGTCAGGGTACATGCCTGGGTTGCGGGCCAGGTCCCCAGTGGAGGCCATGTGAGAGGCAACTACACATTGATGTTTCTCTTTCTCTCTCCCTTCCCCTCTCTCTAAACAAACAAATAAAATCTTTTTTTATTATAACTAACTAAATAAATAAGTAAATATTTTTTTTTAAAAGAGGAGCCCTGGCTGGTGTAGCTCAGTGGACTGAGTGTGGGCCTGTGAACCAAAAGGTCGCCATTTCTATTCCCAGTCAGGGCACATGCCTGGGTTGGGGGCCAGTTCCCAGCAGGGGATGCACGAGAGGTGACCATGAATTGATATTTCTCTCCCTCTCTCCTTCTCCCCTTCTCCCCTTCTCTAAAGATAAATAAAATCTTTCTTTTAAAAAGGAGGAACTTTGTAAACTTTAAGCTGAATGAAAGAAGCCAAACACACAAAAAGATAAATATTGCATGAATCCATTCATCTAAAATGTATAGATAGATAAATCCATAGAAACAAAGAGTAAAGTAATGGTTGCTGGGCGCTGAGGAGAAAATGGAAAATGACTACTTTATAATTTAATTGGGGGGTGATGGAAATGTTTGGGGGCTAGACAGAGGTGCTGGTTGCACAACACTACAAATGTACTAAGTGTTACTGAATTATTCACTTTAAATGGTTGCTGGTTAATTCTTTTATTATATGAATTCTGCCTCATAAGAAAAAGGGTAGCAAGGAGGTGGACACTTAAGGTAGCATGCACTTTTCTTTTTTTAACATTTTTTTATTGATTATGCCATCACATTTGTTCTATTTCCCCCTTCGTTCCCCTCCACCCTGCACACCCCTCCCCTATCATTCCCCCCTTTAGTTTATGACCACGTGTCTCAAGTTCTTTAGAGTCTATATTTCCCCTACTATTCTTGTCCTACCCCTATCTATTTTCTATCTACTGTCTACGCTACTTATTTTCTGTACCTTCTCCCTCCTTCTCCTTCTCCCACTCCCCTGTTGCTAATCCTCCATGTGATCTTCATTTCTATGGTTCACTCCTGATCTAGCTGTCCTCTTAATTTGCTTTTGTTTTAGGTGTGGTTGTTGATAACTGTGAGTTTGCTGTCCTTTCACTGTTCATCTTTTTTATCTTCTTTTTCTTAGGTAAGTCCCTTTAACATTTCATATAATAAGGGCTTGGTGATGATGAACTCCTTGAATTTGATCTTATCTGAGAAGCACTTTATCTGCCCTTCCATTCTAAATGAAAGCTTTGCTGGGTAGAGCAATCTTGGTTGTAGGTCTTTGGTTTTCATGACTTGGAATAATTCTTTCCAGCCCCTTCCTGCCTATAAGGTCTCTTTTGAGAAATCCGCTGACAGTCTGATGGGAACTCCTTTGTAGGTGACTGTCCCCTTATCTCTTGCTGCTTCTAGGATTCTCTCCTTCATTTTAATCTTGGCTAATGTAATGTTGATGTGTGTTCCTCCTTGGGTCCAACTCCTTGGTGTGTTCCTCCTTGGGTCCAACTTCTTTGGTACTCTCTGAGCTTCCTGGATTTCCTGGAAGTCTATTTCCTTTGCCAGTACAGGGAAGTTCTCTTTTATTATTTGTTCAAATAAGGTTTCCACTCGTGACTGTTCCTCTTCCCCTTCTGGTACCCCTATAATTCAGATGTTGGAACGTGTAAAGATGTCCTGGAGGTTCTTAAGCCTCTCCTCATTTTTTTTGAATTCTTGTTTCTTCATTCTTTTCTGTTTGGTTATTTTTTCCTTCCTTTTGGTCTACTCCCTTGATTTGAGTCCCAGTCTCCTTTCCATTACTATTGGTTTCCTGTGCATTACCATTCATTTCAATTAGTTTAGCTTTCATATGTTCCTCTAATTTGTGACTAAAATCAACCAGTTCTGTGAGCATCCTGATCACCAGTGTTTTGAACTGTGCATCTGAAAGTTTGGCTATTTCTTCATGGCTTAGATTTATCGGCTCTGGGGCTCTGAGTTGTCCTTGAGCCATGTTTTTGTCTGTTTGTGCCTGTTGCATATGAGGACCTGAGCCTTAGTTGTTTACCAGGGAGGGGCCACCCAGGTCTCTTGTTTGTGGTGCTATATGTGGAGGCGAGGTCAGAGAGGGAGCAATGGCGGTCCTCTCTGCTCACCCAGTCCGTCCCACCGCTTGCCCCCACCTGTTTATCTGACTGGAAATGTGCGAGTCCACTGCCCTGCGCCGTGCGGTCTCAATGCTGGCCTCTTCACTGGTTTATCTGCATGCTAATGCTGGACCCACTGCAGACAGCCAGCCCTGCCTCTTCCCTGTGTCAACCAGTAGCTAGCCCCCACCTGGGATCCGCGCTTTCAGCTGCTTGCGCACCACCCCGGTCTTTTTGGCCAATCTGCTCCGCTGCTAGCTTTGCCTCTCTTACCAGTTTAGCTGAGCATTTTGTTGTTTTCAGGTTCCGTATTGTCAATTTTCTGTGTGGTTTGGTTGCATTTATTGTTGTAAAAACTTTATTGTTTTTAGATTTGGTTGTGCGTGGACGCAAGGTATTCCCACCTATGCCTCCATCTTGGCAGAAGTCCAGCATGCACTTTTCTATACTTATGTTATACTTAGAAAACAGTTTACTTTCTAAAAAGATTTACGTAGGTGTTTGAGGAACACTGCCTGAAATGCCCACCATTAATGCTGTCATGTGGTTACTCCCAGGGCAGAGTGGGCTGGGCAAGTCCACGATGGTGAACACGCTCTTCAAGTCCAAGATGTGGAAGTCCACCCCACCAGGCTTGGGGCAGGGGCCCCTGCCCCAGACACTGCAGCTGCACTCGGTGACCCATGGTGAGTGAGACCCCCAGCCTCAGCCTCATCCTCACCCTGCCCCAACCAGGTCCAATCTCTTCCTCTCTGCACGCTCCCTCCACAGTCATTGAGGAGAAGGGTGTGAAGCTCAAGCTGACTGTGACTGACACGCCTGGCTTCGGGGACCAGATCAACAACGACAAGTGGTGGGTCTTCTGGAGTGGGGCTGAGCCCTGGTTGCCCTGGTCCCTGCCCCTCCAGCCCCTGTCAAATATCTCAGCCCTATAACAATCTGGCTGTTATCTTTGAGCCTCAGTTTATTTGTCTATATAATGAATGTATGTCTTTCTCCCTCCAAGATAGAAGGGCATCAGTATGTAAAGTTTTAGCTTGCTGCCTGGCACACATTAAGCACTTGGTAAAGGTTATAATATAACAGGGGTTAGAAGCCCACCCTCCAGGGTAAGGACCCCTGATTTAGGCCACTTTCTAGCCTAGAACTAGTCACAGAAACTCTCTGAGTCTCAGTTTCCTTCTTTCTAACTTGGAAATGATGACACCCACCTTGCAGAGGTGTTCAAGGCTCTCAGTGAGACACACACATACACACAGAAAATCAGCATTGGCTGTCTAATTTGTGGGACCCAGTGTGATGAAAATGTGAGGGCCCTTGTTCAAAAATTATCAAGAATTGGACTTCCAGTCAAGATGAAGGCATAGATAGACACGCTTTGCCTCCTTGCACAACCACAGAGAGAATTACAACTATACCTCAAAACAAGTAATAACCAGAACTGTCAGAAAATTAGTCCAACTACCAAGGGTTTAAAGAAGCCATATTCATCCCGACGGGTAGGAGGGGCAGAGTCACTGAGATGGGCGGAGAGGCTCAGAGATGCGGTGTGGCATGGAGAAGTGGCAGTAGCAAAATAGGCGGTCCCACACTGATGTGTATAGATAAAAATCAAGGGGAATACATTGGGATCGAAGTATCCCAGCCCCAGGCCAGATCACACAGCCCAGGGTTCCTGCACTGGGAGGATAGATTCCCATAACTTCTGGCTACAAAAACCAGTGGGGGTTGTGGTGGCAGCAGACACTGCTGGATTTTGAGGTGAGTCTGTTTAAAGGGCCTGCATGGACTTAAAACATGCCCAAACCCACCCACTCGAATTCATCACTAGGGAACAGCGGGAAAGGCACCAGTCACATACGGGAATTGGGTGAAGTGACTGGAACTTGGACAAGTGCTACACAAACCTCCAGAAGTCAGGCAGCAGCGTGGCCCCTCTCCAAACCCTCCCCACACACAGAGCACAAAGCGGTGAAGCAGGTTGCCCTGCCCTGGTGATGACCTAAGGCTCCCCCTACACAGTTTACAGGTGCCTTTTCTAAAACAGGGAGTCAAAGCAGCTCTATCTAATATATAGAAACAAACACAGGGAAGCTGCTGAATTGAGGAGACAAGGAAATATGGTCCAAATGAAAGAATAGAACAAAACCCCAGAAAAAGAACTAACAAAACAGAGATAGCTAACTTATCAGATGCAGAGTTCAAAACAATGGTGATCAGGATGCTCAGAGAACTCATTGAGTACATCAAAAACATAAGGGAAGAAATAAAGGTTACACTAAGTGAAATAAAGAAAAATCTACAGGGAACCAATACCGAAGAGGATGAAGCTGTGAATCAAATCAACGATTTGGAACACAAGGAAGGAAAGGCATTCAAACAGAACAGCAAGAAGAAGAAAAAATTCAAAAAATCAAGGATAAGCTTAGAAAAAACTCTAGGACAACTTTAAACTTACTGAAAGTCAAATCACAGGGGTGTCAGAAAGAGAAGAGGAAGAACAAGAAATTGAAAACTTAGTTGAAAAAATAATGAAAAAAGACTTCCCTAATTTGGCAAAGGAAATAAACATATAAGTCCAGGAAGCACAGAGAGTCCCAAACAAGTGGGACCAAAGAGGACCATGCCAAGACACATCATAATTAATATGCGAAAGATTAAAGACAAAGAGAGAATCTTTTTTCTAAAATATATTTTATTGATTATGCCATCATAGTTGTTCCATTTCCCCCTTCATTCCACTCCACCCTGCACACCCCCTCCCCCCATTCCCCTCCTTTAGTTCATGTCCATGTGTCACAAGTTCTTTAGCTTCTACATTTCCCATACTATTCTTGCCCTCCCCCTGTCTATTTTCTACCTACCGTCTATGCTACTTATTCTCTGTACCTTTTACCCCTCTCTCCTTCTCCCACTCCCCTGTTGCTAATCCTCCATGTGATCTTCATTTCTATGGTTCTGTTCCTGATCTAGCTGTCTTCTTAGTTTGCTTTTGTTTTAGGTGTGGTTGTTGATAACTGTGAGTTTGCTGTCCTTTCACTGTTCATCTTTTTTATCTTCTTTTTCTTAGGTAAGTCCCTTTAACATTTCATATAATAAGGGCTTGGTGATGATGAACTCCTTGAATCTGATCTTATCTGAGAAGCACTTTATCTGCCCTTCCATTCTAAATGAAAGCTTTGCTGGGTAGAGCAATCTTGGTTGTAGGTCTTTGGTTTTCATGACTTGGAATAATTCTTTCCAGCCCCTTCCTGCCTGTAAGGTCTCTTTTGAGAAATCCGCTGACAGGCTAATGGGAACTCCTTTGTAGGTGACTGTCCCCTTATCTCTTGCTGCTTCTAGAATTCTCTCCTTCATTTTAATCTTGGGTAATGTAATTATGATGTGCCTTGGTGTGTTCCTCCTTGGGTCCACCTTCTTTGGGACTCTCTGAGATTCCTGGACTTCCTGGAAGTCTATTTCCTTTGCCAGTACAGGGAAGTTCTCTTTTATTATTTGTTCAAATAAGTTTTCCACTTGTTCCTCTTCCTCTTCCCCTTCTGGCACCCCTATAATTCAGCTGTTGGAGTGTTTAAAGATGTCCTGGAGGTTCCTAAGCCTCTCCTCATTTTTTTGAATTTTTTTATTTAATTATTTTTCAACTACAGTATTCTGTCTTTTACTCCCATCCCAGTCCACCCCCCGTGCCCCCACCTCCCTCCCATTTCCACCCCCCTTAGTTGTTCTCCATGTGTCCTTTATACTAGTTCCTGTAAATCCTTCCCCCTTTTCCCCTGAAATTCCCTCCTCTCTCCCCTCCAGTTGCTGTCCCCCCGTTCTCTATTTCAGTGTCATTGTTTTTATTTTGCTTGCTTGTTTGTTTTGTTGTTTAGCTTCCTGTTAAAGGTGAGATCATATGGTATTTGTCTTTTACCACCTGGCTTATTTCACTCAGCATAATGCTTTCCAGTTCCATCCAAGCTGTTGCAAAGGGTAGGAGCTCCTTCTTTCTTTCTGCTGCATAGAATTCCATTGTGTATATGTACCACAATTTTTTGATCCATTCATTTACTGACGGGCACCTAGATTGCTTCCAACTCTTGGCTATTGTAAATTGTGCTGCTATGAACATTGGGGTGCATATGTTCTTTTGGATTGGTGTTTTAGGGTTCTTAGGATATAGTCCCAGCAATGGAATTGCTGGGTCATAAGGCAGATCCATTTTTAGTTTTCTTAGAAAATTCCATACTATTTTCCATAATGGTAGGGACCCCTTTTCCCCACAACCTCTCCAACATTTGTTGTTTGTTGCTTTGTTTATGATGGCCATTCTGACAGGTGTGAGGTAGTATCTACTTGTGGTTTTAATTTGCATCTCTCTGATAGCTAGCAATATTGAGCATCTTTTCATGTGTCTCTGGATCCTCTGTATGTCCTCCTTGGGGAAGTGTCTGTTCAAGTCCTTTTCCCATTTTTTAATTGGGTTATTTGTCTTCTTAGAGTGGAGTCATAAAAGACATGTATGCAGGAAACTACACAACACTGAAAAAAGAAATCAAGGAAGACACAAACAAATGGAAACATATACCATGTTCATGGATTTGAAGAATTAACATTATCAAAATGTCCATACTACCCAAAGCAATTTACAGACTCAATGCAATACCTATTAAAGTACCAATGGTATATTTCACAGACATAGAACAAACACTTCAAAAATTTATATGGAACCATAAATGAGCCCAAATAGCAGCTGCTATTTTGAGAAAGAAGAACAAAGTAGGAGGAATCACAATACCTGATATCAAACTGTATTACAAGGCCACTGTAATCAAAACAGCCTGGTACTGGCATAAAAACAGGCACATAGACCAATGGAACAGAACAGAGAGCCCAGAAATAAACCCAACTCTCTACAGTCAATTAGTATTTGACAAAGGGAGCAGTAACATAAAATGGACTAAAAATAGCTTCTTCAACAAATGATGTTGGGAGAACTGGACAGCTATGTGCAAAAAAAATGAAACTTGAGCACTGACTTACACCATACACCAAAATAAATTCAAGGTGGATAAAAGACTTAAATGTAAGCCATGAAACCATTAACATCCTAGAGGAGAACATTAGCAAGAAAATCTCAGATATTTCATGCAGCAACTTTTTTACTGATATGTCCCCTAGAGCAAGGGACATAAAGGAAAGAATAAACAAATGGGATCTCATCAAAATAAAAAGCTTCTGCATGGCTAAAGAAAATAGTATTAAAATAAAAAGACAGCCAACTGTATGGGAAAACATAATTGCCAATGATACCTCAGACAAGGGTTTAATCTCCAAATTATACATTTTTTTGAATTCTTATGTCTTCATTCTTTTCCGGTTGGATGTTTCATTCTTCCTTCTGGTCCACTCCATTGATTTGAGTCCCAGTTTCCTTTCCATCGCTATTGGTTCCCTGTGCACTTTGCTTCATTTCACTCAGTGTAGCCTTCATTTTTTTTATCTAATTTGCAACTAAAATCAACCAGTTCTGTGAGCATCCCGATCACCAGTGTTTTTGAACTGTGCATCCAATAGGTTAGCTATCTCTTTGTCGCTTAGAAGTATTGGCTCTGGGGCTTTGAGTTGTTCTTCTGCTTGAGCCATAATGTTTTGGTCTGTTTGCACCTGTTACATATGAGGGGCAAAAGCTTAGGTGTTCACCGGGGTGGGTCAGTCCAGTCACTGGGTTGTGATGGTCTGGATGAATGGTTCATTGTTGTCAGACTTCCATACAGTTCAATTTTCTGTCTGTTTTGGTTGTGGTTTTGTTTCTAAATCTCTGTTGTCCTTAAATTTGGTTGTGCAAGGAGGTACAGTATTTCCACCTACACCTCCACCTTAGCCAGAAGTCCCCAAAGAGAGAATCTTAAAAGCAGCAAGAGAAAAGCAGAGAGTTACCTACAAAGAAGTTCCTCTAAGACTATCAACTGATTTCTCAAAATAAATTTTGCATTCAAGAAGGGACTGACAAAAAGTATTCAAAGTGATAAAAAGCAAGGGCCCATACCCTAAATAACTCTATCCAACAGAGCTATCATTTAAAATAGAAGGGCAGATCACTCCTTGGCCTTTTAGCTAGATCAAGTGTAACATGGAAGGGCAGATAAAGTGCTTCCCAGACAAGGTAAAGCTAAAGAAGTTCATCATCACTGAACCATTATGACATGAAATGTTAAAGGGACTTCTTTAAGAAAAAGAAGAATTGCCCTGACTGGTGTTGTTCAGTGGACTGAGTGCCCGCCTATGAACCAAAAGGTTGTTGGTTTGGTTCTCAGTCAGGGCACATACCTGGGTTGCAGGCCAGGTCCCTTCCCCTCTCTCTCTAAGTAAATAAATAAAATTTTAAAGAAGAAAAAGAAGATCAAAACGATGAACATTAAAAGGGCAACAAATTCACAGCTATCAATAATTGAATCTAAAAAAACAAACTAAGCAAACAACCAGAACAGGAACAGAATCACAGAAATGGAAATCTCATGGAGGGTGGGAGAATGGGGGAAAAAGTAGAGGGAATAAGAAGCATAAATGGTAGGTACAAAATAGACTTATTTTAGGCCAGGGGGAGGTTAAGAATAGTATAGGAAATGCAGAAGCCAAAGAACTTACATGTATGACCCGTAGATATAAACTGAGTGGGGCGGGGATTGCTGGAGGGAAGGTGGGTACCAGGTGGAAAGGGATAAATGGGGAAAATTTGGGGCAATTGTAATAGCATAATCAATAAAATGTTTTTTTAATTATCAAGAATTGTAAGGCCACAGCCACAGAGCATTCGACCAAGCGTGGTCCTTCCAAGTACAGAGCCCTGTGCTCCATTCACACTCCCGTGAAGCCGATACTGCACGAGACACTGCTGAGCACTTACTACATGCACGCTCTCTCCTAGAACTGGGACACAGCCACAGACAAAACAGAAGAGCATCCTAGCCTACATGGAATTTACATTGTCACAGGGCTGAGGGAAGATGAACAAAATAATCAGTTACACGGAGAGTGAGCCTGAACTTTATCATCCAAACAGGACATTTCTGAGAGTGAAAAGGGTACAGAGCTGTAGGGGTGGCGATTTTAAACAGAGGGAACAAGAAAGATCTCCAGGAAAAGGTGACATTTGGGTGCAAACTTCCAGGAGATGAGAGAGCAAGCCACGTGGACATGTGGAAACAAGTGTCCAAGGCTGAGGGTGCTATGTGCAAAGGCTCCGAGGTAGGTGGGCTGGCGTGACTAACAGGGCAAGAGCAATAGGGAGAGGAAAGGAGAAGGCAGGCAGGGAGCCGTGGTCGGGTGGTCTAGGGCCTTGTAGGGCAATGGAAGGACTCTGGCTTTTGTTCAGTTCTGGGAAGCTGAGCAGAAGAAGGATGTGATCTAACTCCTGCTTTCAGAAGGGCCTTCTTGGCTGCTGTTGAAAACAGCCCACAAAGGGAAGGGGCCCAGGGAGTGGAGTTAGGAAATCCTTTCACCAGAATCAGGCAAAAGTCCACGGTGGTTTGAACCAGGCCAACAGCAATTTCTCTTGCTTAATGCTCACTCCCCCCAACACAAAGTAGGTGTTTTTATTGTCCCCATTTTTTAGACAAGGAAGTTGAGCCTCAACTTTGAGAACAGCAAGGGGGCCTCTCTGATGATGCAAGGGAACGAGGGTGGGGGAGTTGGGGTGGAGAGCGTACTCAGGTGTTTGTGCAAGACCAAAGATCCTGCAACCTGGGTGAACATGTTAATTGGTCATCGGCAGGGGTGACCACCCAAAGAACTCCTGGTGGGGCTCCTGGGCACAGTCCTGAAGTCAGATCCATCTCCTGCCCCAGCTGGGACCCCATCCTGGGCTACATCAATGCACAGTATGAGCAGTACCTGCAGGAAGAGATCCTCATCACCCGCCAGCGCCACATCCCCGACACCCGGGTGCACTGCTGTGTATACTTCGTGCCGCCCACTGGGCACTGGTGAGGTGGTTGGGCCAACCAGGGCAGAGAGGAGTAGGCGGAGGTGGAGAAGGGGTTCCCAGCATGGGCTGTGGGCTGGCACCCCCTCACTCACACACTTGCTGCTGCCACTGTCGCCACCGTCACTGCCCTGGCTGAGCAGCCTGCGGCCCCTGGACATCGAGTTCCTGCAGCGGCTATGCCGGACTGTGAACGTGGTGCCCGTGATCGCCCGGGCGGACAGCCTGACCCTTGAGGAGCGAGAGAACTTCAGGCGCAGGGTGATCTGGGTGCCTGGGGCGAGGCTGGGGTGGTGCAGGCGGGGAGGAGGCAGAGTGCATAGGCTGAGCTGAGGTTACCTACGTGTGGCCCCCAGATCCAGCACAACCTGAAGGCTCACTGCATTGATGTGTACCCACAGAAGTGCTTCGATGAGGACATCAGTGACAGGATCCTCAACAGCAAGATCCGGGTAGGAGGCCATGGGGGCAGGGAAGCTACCGTGACAAAGCGCGATTCTCTTTCCATTCATCTTTTCATCTGAAGATTACAACTAGGGGAAAATTCATATATTTCTAGCAGACAAGGAACTTGTACCCTGATTATATAAAGCTCTCTTACAAATCAACAATCAAATACAACCCAGTTTAAGAATGGGCAAAGGATCTTGAGTAGACCTTTTTTCGAAGAATTTATAAGACTGGCCAATGAGCACATGAAAAGGTGCTCAACACCATAAGGGAAACACAAACCAAAAGCAAGATGCTCCATCCCACTAGGATGGCCATTATAAAAATGACCGACGACCACAAGGGTTAGTGAGGATGTGGAGAAACTCAAACTCTCACACACACCTCTGGTGGGAAAGTCAGATGGTGCAGTCGCTGCGAAAAAGTCTGACAGTTCCTCAAAAGATTAAGCACCAGGTTACGGCGTGACCCAGTAATTTCTCTCCCAAAAGAAATGAAAACCTATGTCCACATAAAAACTTGTGCACGAATGTTCATGGTAGAATTATTCATAGCAATCCAAATGTCCATTAACTTGAGAATGTGCAGAAAAAGTGCTGTATCCACACAATGGAATATGGTAGCCATAAAAAAGAATGAATTTCTGATAGATGCCGCAACATGCACAAACCTTGAAGACATGATGCTCAGCGGAAGAAGGCAGGCAGACGTAAAAGGCCACATGTGGAATGATTTTATTATACGAAATGTTCAGAACAGGCAAATCTATAGAGACAGGAAGTGGATTAGTGTTTGCCAGGGGCTGGGGGTCAGGAAGAATCGGGAGTGACTGCTCAGAGAGAGAGGCTTCCCTTCGGGTGGTGACAGAAGATCTCTGGAATTAGGTTGTGGTCACGGTTGCACACTCTTGTGGATATACTAAAAACCACTGGACTGTACCTCTAAAAGGGTGAATTTTACAGCATGTGATTTACATTTCAAAAAAGCTGTGACAAAAAACAAAGAGGGAAATAGCGCACATCTTCACGTTCTCTGAATTAACTGAATTCCAACTCCGAGCCCCCATGCTGCTCTCCTCAGGAAGCATTCAATGTCAGTCCATCTGGAGTGAGGGGGTCCATCATCTGCAGATACCAGGCCTCGACTCCCTCGCCAAGGGCCCCTGCTCGCCTACACAGTACTTTTTGCTTGGATTAGAACAAAGCATGCCCTGGCTGCTGTAGTTCAGTGGATTGAGCGTGGGCTGCAAACCGAAGGGTCACCAGTTCGATTCCCAGTCAGGGCACATGCCTGGGTTGCAGGCCAGGTCCCTAATGGGGCCACATGAGATGCAATCACACAGTGATGTTTCTCTCCCTCTCTTTCTCCCTCCCTTCCTCTCTCTCTAAAAATAAATAAATAAAATCTTTTTTTTTTTAAGAAAAAAGCAACAGCTGCTGCACAGTGGGGGCCTACCCTTGACTCCCACCCTGCACAGCCTCCAAATCAAGTGTCCCTGTGCAGCGCACAAACCACCTCCCATTCTGCACCCGATTTCTCTACCCTCTCCCTCTTTCCCTCCCCGCTGGAGCCATGAACAGGATTTCCCGTGAGAGTTGAGCGCCCGGGATTTCACCACCTCTGCGTTCCGTCCTGAGGTGGGCAAACACAGCAGCCTGGCCACCGCCAGAGCAGAGCTGGGGGAACACAAGGAAGGAACACATTCTCAAATTAAAAACTCAGTAAATCATCCAACACAACATTTATTGAGCATTTAGTTACTACCAGCTGGCACATAATAAATGTGTAACAAATGGCTATTATTATTAGCATCAATGTTATTCCCTGTTATAAATTAATTCTAGAAATAAAAACGAACCCATAAATAGCACTTTGGAGTTTACAAGCTTGAATTTCTGCTTCTGGCCAGGAGCAAATAAACAACTAGAATTTATGACAGGGTTAAGCAAACATTTTTTTAACATTGATTTGAGAGAGAGAGAGAGGAAGGGAGAGAGAAAGACATCAATTTGTTGTTCCATTTATTGATGCATTTGTTCATTGATTCTTGTATGTGCCCTGACCAGGGTTCGAATCCACGACCTTGGCGTATGAGAATGACGCTCTAACCAACAGCTACCCAGCCACAGCCAAGGGTTTAGCAAACATTTTTGCGACAGTCCAGGTGATGGTAAATACAGGGTGGGGCAAAAGGAGGTTCACAGTTGTGGGTGCACAAAACACAGTTTATTCTTGTGTTATTACGTATTAATTATTATATTATTTTCCATAGGAACAGCTGTAAACCTACTTTGCCCCACCCTACATTTGGGACTGCGTGGGCCGCGCAGTCTCTGTCACAGTTCCTCAGCTCTGCTGTGGCTGTGTGAAAGCCACATAGACGACAGTGACTGAGCGGACAGGGCTGTGTGCCGATACACGTTACAGAGAATGGGAGGTGGGCTGGGCTGGCCCGTGAGCCGTGGGGGCCATCCCCTGGTTGACAGAATTATCCTGGTAACTGGTGAATGCGATTACTGTTCCTGTTTCATAGGTAAGGTAAGAAATTGATGTTAGCAAGATTTTAGTACCGTGGCTATTAGTAATAACACAGTTTGCAAGGGATACTCTGCCAACCCTTAACAACGCTAAGCACTTTCCAAACATTCACAAAGCTCTGTGTCATTACTATTAAAGCTCTCATTCTGCAGATGAGGATACTGAGGCACTAACTTGACTTTGCACCTTCTAACTTATAAGCTATCTTGTGCTCCTTCTACCACTTTCTCTTCCCACCAATGACAGCACGCCCTTGGGCTCTTCTCCCTCCGCCTGCCTGGTGGGGCCAACCCTCCGGTTTTGTCCCCTCCCTGAAGGACCGGATTCCCTTTGCTGTGGTCGGGGCTGACAGAGAGCATCTGGTGAACGGGAAGTGTGTGTTGGGCCGGAAGACGAAGTGGGGCATCATTGAAGGTCAGTGCAGGTATTTGGGGAGGACACAGGTGAGAGTGGGTTGGAAACCAGGGTACATCTTATTGTCTTTGGAATACTTAACACTCATCATATGATCCCAGTGACTAAGCCCACAGCCCAGGAACAGAGACCTGAGATCAAGCCCCTCTTTGCACCTGGGAGGCCTCAGTTTCCTCACAGCAAAAATGGGTGTGATGGTAACTGCGACCTCATAGGGTGGTTGGAGGGGGCAGAGCCGCCACTTTGGACAGTACCCAGCACCCAGAAGGCACCCTATTTGTGCACCAGAATTTGCTGAGAGGCCTACTATGTGCTGGGCATTCTACGTGCAGTTCCTAAAGAGGGGACAGTAAAAGTAGGACCAACAGGGTCCCTGTCCTCATACAGCTGGCGAGACAATGCCAGGTGGGAGAAGCACAGTGAAGGAAGGAAATGTGTGGGGTGGGAGAAGGGGTGCTACCTGAGGAGGGCCTGCTGAGGGTACAACTAGAAGGTAAAGGAGCTGTCATCAAAGCTGAAGCCCCTGATATATCAAAATAGTTATTTAAAGTAGAATACAATAGATACCATCTTATGTATATACCTTATATAATATAACTTGTACATATGGTATATATATGGTATAATATAGATATGATAATGTAGCCATTATTAAGTATATAATAATAAATGAGCAGTGGACTCATTGATTTAACAACTGTTTGTGGGAGCCACCGGTACCAGGCACTGGGGACACAGCAATGAGTGAATGAATGAATGAATGAATGAGTGAATGAATGAATCAAGAACAGGAGGTGGGAAAAGACAGGGAAAGGGTGATAGCGGGTGCCAGGTGTTGTGCAGCACGCAGTGGGTACTTATTTGGTGCTCAGTGTCCTGTCTTGCAGTGGAGAACATGGCACACTGTGAGTTCGCCCTCCTGAGAGATCTGCTCATTCGGTGAGGGTGCAAGTAGCCCAGGGGCTATGGTGGGCCTGGGGGTTGCAGTGGCCAGCCCAAGCTGACCTGCTGTCCATCTCCCAGCTCCCACCTCCAAGACCTGAAGGACATCACCCACAGTGTCCACTATGAAAACTACCGCGTCTGCAGACTCAACGAAAGCCACATGCTGCCCCGTGGGCCTGGCTGGGTGAACCTGGCCCCGACACCCACCAGTGCCCCAGCCACCCCTGGGCCCTCAAAGGCTCGCCAGAAGGTGCACAACAATTCCACGGAGGAGTGCTGAGCGCTGGGATTCCCCAAGTGCTCAGCAGCCCCCAACACATACTTGTGTCCCAGAGCATGTATTAAATAAAGGTGCACATTGCTTTTTATGAAAAGCTGTACTTTGGAGAAAAAACAGTTTTGTAAATGACTTCTTTGAGCTATCTTCGATGAAAGAATGGTTCTTTTTTTTAAAGATTTAAAGAGAGGGGGGAAATAGGACAACTGTAATGGCATAATCAATAAAATATATTTTTAAAAAACGAAAAAAATATTTAAAGAGAGGGGAAGGGAGGGAGATAGAGAGGAAGAGAAACATCGATTGGCTGCCTTTTCATAGGCACCGAAACATGACACAGCTGAGCCCTGACTGGGACAGAACCTCAACCCAGGCAAGTGCCCGGACTGGGAATCGAACCCGTAACCTTTTGGCTTGCAGAGTGATGCCCAACCAACTGAACTACACTGGCCAGGACAAGAATGGTATTTTAAAAAGTAATAGTATGAGATCCCAGACCCTGGGGAATCATGAAGACCTTGGAGGGCGTGCCTTGATGACCAGACCCTTCTGCCCCAGAACCAGAGTCAAGCTACAAATCAGATTCTGCCCTCCATCCTGACCCCCTCTCCCAACCCAGGGCCAGGCCTATGATGTCATAAACATGCCCAACTTTGACCATCTTCCCCCATCCCTGTGTCCCACCCCATGGCCAACCAGCACAGTGAGAACCAGCTCCACTTTCAGAGTCTGGCAAAGCTGATGTGAAATCCCTGCTCTGCTATATATCTTTGAGCAAGTCCCTTATTCTTCCTGGGCCTCAGGTTCACCATCTATGAAATGGAATGGCAGCACCTCTCCCATAGTGTTGTTGCACAGACGAAATGGAGTAATTTGTACAATGTGCGTGCCATGGCCTGGAGAAATGGCTCTCAGACAGACCTCAAGGGAACAGGAGAGAGCTTGGTTGGGGGTGGAGGCTGTGCCTGCAGAATGTACGTGCCCTTCTCAGGACTTTCTGGAACACTCGATACTAAAGGGACTTCATAGAAGCCCACCTAGTTGGGACCTGAAGCTCAGTTTGGTTGATAAAAGGATGGGTGACTCCTGTAATCTGGCAAGGAACACCCAAACTCCTGTGGGAGGAGAGCATGTGGTGAGCATCCGGGGCAACGATGGGTGTAGTGGAGTTCTCCAGAAACCAGATCCAGCAGGACACATGTATGGAGATACACAGAGGTGAGCAAAAGTAGGTTTACAGATGTTCATATGGAAAAATATACAAAAATAAATTGTGTTTCACGTACTCACAACTATAAGCCTACTACTTTTGCCCACCCCTGTATAATGGGAATTGACTCACAGCTACTGAGGCGAGGAAGTCTCACCATCTGCCACCTGCAAGCAGGAGACCCAGAAAATCGATGGTGCAATTTTTTCTGAGTCAGAAAGCCTAAGAATCAGGTGTGAGTCCCAGCCAGAATTCAAACACCAAAGACCTAGGCTTTCTGATGTCCATGGGCAGAAGATGTATGTCTCATCTCAAACGGACAGAGCAAATTCCCTCTTCCTTGGCCTTTTGTTCTGTTCAAGCCCTCGATGGACTGACTGGATAATGCCCATCTGCATTAGGAGAGTAGTTATTTTTACGCAGCCTACTGAATCAAAAGCTAATCTTTCCAGAGACATCCTCACAGATGCACCTAGAAATAACATTCACCACCCATCTGGGCATTCTTTAGCCTACTCAAGTTGACACGAAATTAACCATCACCACAGCTAAAAGTTACCTCCTCCATGAAGCCTTGACTTCTCTAGGCCAACACCCTCAATATCCAGTCTGTCCATGTATCACATGGGTTTTTTTCTAGTCAACGTCCCCCATTAGATTGGGAGCCCTGTGAGGGTAGAGATTGGTTGGCTTCATCCTGCACCTGACAGGAGCTCATGACTCAGATACTGAATGAATGAATGAATCCTTCAGTTCCTGCCCAATAGCTATTTACCCATCAAATTCACAAAGCAGCAGACTCTGGGTTTGAGAGGACCCACGCCATCCACACCAACATCTCAGAGTTGGCGTATTGCTACTTAGGGACTGAGAACATTCCCAAAGTTAAAATTAGCCCTAGGCAATATGGCAATGCCTGCAACATTTTTAAAGCACGCACCCTTTGCCTCGGCAGACCTATTTCTAGGAACATACCTCATAGGTAGACAAGGCTTTCTCAACCTCACCATGGACATTCGAGGCCAGATCAGTCTTTGCTATGAGGGCTGCTTGCTCTGTGTGTTGCAGGATGTTTAGCAGCATCCCTGGATCTCCACGCAGGAGATGACAATAGCACCGCCCACCCAGCCATGACAACAAAAAATGTCTCTCAACATTGCCTGATTGTCCCCCGGGGGGCAAAATCTCCTCAGCTGAGAACTACAGGAAGTGGTACCCATATAGTAAAGATGAGAAATAACCTACGTGTCCACCAGGAGTGGACTGGAAAGTAAAGCATAGGACATCTATACCATGGGTATTATTTTCCCATGGATGTTGTTACAAGTTAGTACAAACTGGGAGGCTTAAGTGACACACATTTACCTCTCACAGTTCTGGAGGTCAGAAAACTGAAATTAGTATCACTAGGTCAAGATCAAGGTGTGAGCAGGGTTGTGCTGCCTCTGGAGGCGCCTTTCCTTGCCTTTGCCGGTTTCCAGAGGCAGCCTGCATTCCTTGACTCTTGGCCCCTCCATCTCGCTTCACTTGCCATGTTGCCTTCTGCACTCCAATCTCCCTCTGCCTTCCTCTTATGAAAACCTTTGTGTGTGCACTAGACCTACTGGGATAATCCAGATAACCTGCCCATCTCAAAATCCTTAATCACATCTGCAAAGTCTCTTTTGCATACAAAATAACACATTTATAGGTTCTGGAGCAGGAATTGGGTTGTCATTCTTCAGCCCACCACACTGTGGAATATAACATGATCCTTAAAAAGAATGAAGCGCCCTATTCTGAGTAGCTCAGTTGGTTAAAATGTTGTCCCAATATGCCAAGTTTCAGATTCAATCCTCAGTCAGGACACGTACAAGTATCAACCAATCAATGCATAAATAAGTGGAACAACAAATTAATGTTTCTCTCTCATGCACTCTCCCTCTTTCTCCTTTCCTCTTTCTCTTTAAAAATCAATAAATAACAAAATGAAGATTTAAAAGGAATGAAGCAAAACAAACATGGCATGATCTCACTTATATGGGGAATCAAAGAGTAGAACTCGTAGAACCAGAGTAGAATGGTGGTTGCCAGGGGCTAGGGGCCGGGAAAACGAGCGATGCAGGTCAAAGGGTGCACATTTTCGGTTATAAGGTGAGTTAGTTCTGGAGATCTAATTCACAGCATGGTGAGCACAGTTAACAATGCTGAGTTATATACTTAAAAGTTGCTGAGAGAGTAGATCTTTAATGTTCTTGGCACACACACACACACAGATAACTGTGTGTTAACTAACTTCTCTATGGTAATCATTTCACAACATATCACTGTATCTCCTAAAATTTACACAGTGTTACTTATCAGTGACATTTCCATAAGCCTGGAGGAGAAAAAAAATTTGAGGCAGCTTTCCAATCACCCACATGTTTTTTCCAGGAAGAGGTCTTCAGAGCCCACTGTGTGCTACTGCAGAGGCTGGAGTGAAGGAAGGAACAAAATCAAGTCACTGCCTTCAGAAGCTTGCACCTGGATGGAGCAAGATGACAATAAACAAAACAAATAAGTGAAATGCTGAGCATGCTGCACTGTGACGGTCACTCCGGCACCACCACAGACCACAACACATTAAGTCAGGCATTGAAGGGGTATTGGACTGTCTAGGATTGAGGGGGGTTGTAACTGTTCTTTTTTAAATAAAGCTTTTATTTATTTATTTTTAGAGAGAGGAGAAAGAGAGGGAGAGAAACATTGATCAGTTGCCTCTCACACGCCCCCAACTGAGGGCTGGACCTGCAGCCCCCGGCATGTGCCCTGACGGGGAATCAAACTGATGACCTTTGCTCAGTGCTGATGACTTTGCCTCTAGTTCTAGGGGCTCCTGCAATACCCGCAGGGACTCTGCAGCTCACGCTGGGCACAGACACATTTGTGTCTGTACTCTGAACAGGGCCCGACACAAGTTGCTTCTGCATTTCCTGCCCTACTGAAGGATGGAGACCTCCTCTGACCCATCTTGGGATTCCCCAAGCCCATCAAGCGGGAGTTCCAAGTCCAGCTCTGACCGTTTTTAACTTTAAGACTTTAGACAAAGTCACCCTACACGCCAGAATCCACTTCCTCGTCTGTGAAACAGGGACAGCAACACCGACCTCCTGCCTCAGGGCTGTGTAATGGCAAACCTGCTCACAGATGCCAAGACCTTATAAAGAGAAGTTCTCCTGGAAAGCATTATGCTGAGTGAAATAAGCCAGGTGTTGAAAGACAAATACCATATGATCTCACCTTTAACAGGAAGCTAAACAACGAAACAAACGAGCAAGCAAAATAAAAACAAAGACACTGAAATAGAGAACAAGGGGACAGCGACCAGAGGGGAGAGGAGAGGGAATTTAAGGGGGAAAAAAGAGGAGGGATTTGGAGGAACAAGTATAAAGGACACAGGGATGATAGCTAAGGGGGGTGGAAATGGGAGGGAGGTGGGGAGCACGGGGTGGGGTGGGCTGGGATGGGAGAAATAGACAGAAAACTACACTTGAAAAATAACTAAATAAAATTTTAAAAAATAATAATAATAAAAAGAGCAGTTCTCCTAACCGTTTCATTATCTTGTGGGGTTTCGCATTGTGTGGTGCAGTGAGCAGGTTCATGTCACAGTTTAATTATGCAGTCATATTGAGTAACAATAAGGAGCATTAATTTTTTTATTTTAATTGTTCAAGTACAGTTTTCTGCCTTTTCCCCCCACCTCAGCCCACCCTGCCAGCCCTCAGGAGCATTTTTTAAAGAGTAAAGAATCCCCAAATGAAGTCCCATGTATCTCATGTAATAAAACCTCCACCAGATTATATGGACAAGAATTATTCACAACAGCTTTATGCATGAGAGCCCCAAGCTGGAAATGGCAAATGTTCAGTGAGAAGAGAGTGGATAAATTGTGCTTTAGGCATACAATGAAATGCTCCTTGGTAACAAAAATGAACCAGCCGCTGATACATGCAACAGCACAGATGAATCACACAGACATAGTGATGAATGAAAGCTGCCAGACAGCAAAGAGAACACACTGTGCGATGCCATTTACAGAGCTCAAGAGCAGGAAGAATCAGTCTAATGTAACAGATCAGCAGTTTCCGGCCAGGGCTGTGATATTGACCCGGGCGGGTTGTCGGGGAGCGGTGCCTAGGGAGCCTTCCAAAGTATTGAAAATGACCTATATATTGATCTGGATGAAGTTCATACAAGTGTACAGATTTGTAAAATTCTTTGAGACATACACTTAAGATCTGTGCGCTTTACTATAGATAGATTATACCTCAAGTAAAAATCTTTATAGATGAATGTAAAATAGAAACACTATACAGGCAGTAGGTCTGCTTAAAAATGAGCATGTATTTATTTAAAATTATTTATAGAAACTGCCCGTTGGGTATGATTCCACAAAGTGAAAGGTCGCCAGTTGGGCTCCCAATTGAAGCACGTGCCTGAGTTGACTCCTGTGAGAGGCAATCGATTGATTTTTCTTCATCAGTTGCTGTTTCTCTCTCCCATGAGTGTTCCTCTCCCTCCTTTTCTCCCTCTCTCCCCTCTCTCTAAAAATAAATAAAATCTTTAAAAATAAATAAGATTATATATGACAACATTTGCTAGGTGTCAATACTCCCAAGAATGGCTATTTTTTTGTTCTTTTAAAAGTACATTAAAACTTGCCGTTTTTGCCCCTCGTGCCTTTCCCCATCTTAGCTTTCTCCAACCTCTGCCCAACCTCCCTGAGTAATTAGCATCCTGAATTTGGTGTTTATCCAAATCTCAAGCATTTCTTTATACTTTCACTGTGTATTTATATATCCCTAATTTATATAGTACTGCTTGCATGTTTTCATAATTCATGAAAATGATATACTGCCACTTGCTTTTTTGGCTCAACATCATCTCTGTGGCATTTATCCACATTTTATTTTGTTGATTGACACCTAGATTATTTTTAGGTTTTGCCATTATAAACACTGCTCTGAACACAGATGTAGTATTTTAAAAATTTTTTTAGATTTTATTTATCTTTAGAGGGGGAAGGGAAGGAGAGAGGGAGAGAAGCATCAATGTATGGTTGCCTCTCGTGCGTCCCCTGCTGGGAACTGGCCTGCAACCCAGGCATGTGCCCTGACTGGGAATCTAACGGCGTTCCTTTTTTCATAGGCCCGTGCTCAATCCACTGAGCTACACCAGCCAGGGCCAGAAGTAGTCTTTAATATATATTTTTTATCCTCACCGGAGGATATGTTTCTTCATTTTAGAGGGAGAGGAAGGGAGGGACGGGGAAAGAGGGAGAGGGAAAGAGAGAGGCCGATGTGAGAAACATCAACCAGCTGTTTCTCATACACCCCTGAGCAGGTATCCACCTGCAACCTTTTGGTGAACCAGACAATGCTCCAACAGCTCCAACCAACAAAGCCATCCTTTGCCATGGCAAAGAAAGCCTTTACTATTTCCTAAATTAGGGTATATGGCCTTTATTATGTGTCAGGCATTCAGTTTTGCCGCTTTTAATAACAATGGCACCTATTGCAGATGTTATCACCCCTCTCTTGCTAATGAGTTCTTCTTGCCTGCTCTCACCTTCCCCCCCAACCCGATCAACCCCAGGGCACAGTTGATGGTGCTTCATGAATCTGGCTCACTCCCTCACGGCTACCACCGTCACTAGATTTAAGGCAGCTACAAACCACTCCAGGGGCTTCCAGCTTTTCTCACTGCTCCCCTCTAGTGTCCTTGAGATATATACGTACTCCAGAAAGCTTCCTAGCTTTTCAAAACACTGTCGTATTTAAAACCCCAAACTATTGGTCTCCCATTGTTCCTAGAATAAAATCCTCAATTCCCACCAGGGCCTCCGAACCTTCCTACTCTGCCCCACTGATGGGGGACTCAAATGTTGGAATTTTAGTTTTAGGCAATAGCTCATATGCTTAGTAATCAATGTACAGAGAAAGCTATTGTTTCAGGCACTGAAGGTATGACCTGCCCTGACTCCAGGAGACCGTAAGCAGTTCCATCTTTGCTCCTCAGGAGGGCTGCAAGACATCAATATGGTATCTGAGCCATTGTGCTCCAGTGTGAGATGTCCACCGTCAAGGACACAGATGAAGACCACCACCCAGGACCCGGATGAAAGAATGCTGCAGCTTTTTAAAAAATATTTTATTTATTTATTTTTAGACAAAGGGAGAGAAACATCAGTGTGTGGTTGCCTCTCACACAACCCCTACTGGAGATCTGGCCCACAACCCAGGCATGTGCCCTGACTGGGAATCGACTGGTGATCCTCTGAGCTACACCAGCCAAGGCTGCTGTAGCTTTTCATCTGATTAACTTTCCCCAAATTCCAAACCCTTTACCTATACTTTTCTTCTCGTTATAAAAAGGGTCAGTTTAAGATGGAATTTGTTAGGGTGCAAACCCACCATCTTCTCAGATTGCTGGCCATCTGAATAAAGCACCATAGATTCAATCCCTGTCTCTGCTTACTGGGTCTGGTAGGTGACAGGCAGCACAGTCATGGGCTTCTCCGGTTTCACCACCTCTCTGGTCTTCTCTCCCAATCTTCACACCCTGAACCTGGGCCACACCGGCTCCCTTCTGTCCCACAAACACATCCCCAGTCTCTCAGGCCTCAGGACCTGGACACCTGCTGTTCCTTCTGTTCAGAACCTTCTCCCCCAGTTCCCCAGAACTAGCTCTATGTTGCCTTCAAACCTCCCCTCAACCACCACTTTCACCCTGAGAGGGTAAAGTCCCCTCTTCTGAACCTTTTGCGGCATTTATGAAAGAGGCGATTACATTATTTGTGCAATTATTTTCTCCACCGTATGCCTTCCTGGCAGAATGTAAGTTCCATGAAAGCAAGCACCTGCCCACCACTGTGGGCACGCAGACATGGCCTAGTGGAGGACTCAATATGCGGCTTTTTTAAAAAATATGAATGTACGAATGGCTGTGAACGAGTTACCGTCCCCCCACTCACAGTCGTGGGCACTGAGATTCAGAGCACGGGAGAGACTGGCTCGAGGTCTAGGCGACAAAGCTACCGCCATCCGGAGGCTGAAGACCCTTCCTCCGTCAGCCCCTCGAACTCCCACCTCCCGCGAGACCGTCGAGACAGCGAGAAGCCCCGCCCCGGGAATCCGGGCTCCGCCCCCCGGGCCCGGCGTGGGGCACTCTGGGAAGTGGGGCTGCGGGACCCCGGCTTGGGCCTCGGGCGGTGTGCTGGGTGCGATCCTTCCGGCGTGAGTGGTGGCGAGTAGCGACGGCGTGGCCACGGTGCGTCTCCGACGCACAGTCCCCGGCACCGACCTTGATTACGCGCTTACGTCTTGCCCTGCGCTTCTGCTCTTCCCCTCCTGACGCTGGGGCTCTTTCCCCAGCTCAGAGATTAAGATGCCCTCAGGGGCGGGGACGTTCGTGCAGCCGCAGCCTCCGGAGCAGAGGTGGGACGCGAACCTGTCCTGCCACCCCTCCTAGCTTGTGTTGGCAGTAAGTCGGCAGAGCGAGTTCGCCGTAGAGGACTAGCAGAATCATGTGTAGCTGACTGAGTCAGGCCTTTCATACCTGGGCTAGTATCACGGGCTAGGGTGCATTAACCTGGTACTTAACCAGAGCTGGGGTCCTGGAATCAAAAATGTGGGTTCCAGTGTCAAGTCTGTCACTTCCTAGTCATGTGACCTTCCCTGGATTCAGTACTTAAAACTCTGGGGGCAGGGTTGGTTGGCATTCAAAAAGAAGCAGGCAGGGCAGGGACTGTTTGGGGTTGGAAGTGGTTGGGAGCTTGGGGAAGGAGGGCTACATCTTGACCTGGTAGGCTTTATCTCCTACCCGGGGTGTCCAACCTTTTGGGGTCTCTGGGCCACACTGGAAGAAGAAGAGTTGTCTTGTGCCACATGTGAAATACAAAAACATTAACGAAAACTGATTAGCAAAAAAAAGGCTTTAAGTAAATTTACAATTTTGTGTTGCGCTGCATTTATAGCCATGCTGAGCCACATGTGGTCTGTGAGCCATGGGTTGGACACCCCTGTGGCCAAAGGCACTTGGCATCTCTTTAGCAGTCTTTTTTTATTTTATTATTTTACTTTTAATATATTGATCCTTAGAGAGAGACACATCGATCTGTTGTTCTAGCCATCCATGCACTCACTGGTTGTACTTACCCCTATGGGCCCTGACCTGGGATCAGACCCGCAACCCTGATGCATTGGGCCAACACTCCAACCAGTTGAGCCGCCTGGCCAGGACAAGCAGTCTTATCTTGAGCATCTTCTGCTTTAGAAATGAGAACCCCAAAAGGCACTCCCAGCTCCTGCAGAGCAGTCTTTCTGCCTATCAGGGAAAGGGAGTTTTCACTGGAAGTGGTGGTAAGGATTTGCTTGACCAAACCCTACTCAGTCTCCTCTGAACTCTCTTCTCCACTATGCCCTGGCTTCATCTTTGCATTGTCCAGTTTCAGCAAGAATCCTGCTAAGTCAGTGTAGCCAGAAAGCCCTATTCTCGGTATCTGATTGGGTTCTTCAACTGCCAGCATCCCTCAGGTGATGTTTACTCACCTTGGTCTGCCTTCAGTAAAAAAAAAAAAAAAAGACTGATGCTTTCTCCATACTAAATCCCACCACCCTCTCCCCTCACTCTCTCTGTGTGTCTGTCTGTGTCTCACAGCCTGGCTCTCCTGTGCGTGGTTGGTTTCAGCCCACAGCAGATTTTGAGGGGAGAAGCTGGACATTTTACCTCTATTTCTCTTCCCTTAGCTCTGGCCTCCTGGCATGTCTAAATAAGCCTTTGAAGAAAGTATTGAAGCCAAGGAGATGCTGGCTTCCCTCCTTAATGTAGATTCCAGGTGAATGAATAGTCCTTTTGTCGAAATATTCCCTACCTGAAAGAGCAACTAACTGCACCACACTCCCGCCTCAGCCTGCTGTGCTTGTCTTCAGAGCACTGTCATGCTGCCTCACTTTACATGTGTGTGCCAGACACAGCCCAGAAGTGTGTTGGTGGGTTTTGCTTATTTGAAACAGGATTTAAAACCGTGTTCAGTTTACATTCAGAATTGGGAGTTTCCACCTAAACATCGAGGTATCTGGCTTCTGGGGAACAGTTATACTGGCTGACAGCACGGGGCCTACATCCCTCACTACTTCCTGTGTCCCTGACACAGAGCCCTTGATCAGCAGCCATCTGCCATCAGGCTGGCACTGCTGTGTCTTTTGTAGTAGAAGCTCTTCACACTCCACTCATACATGGTAATAGAAGAGACTGACCAAGAGACACGAGAGACACGTATTTTAAGGCAAATGGTAAGAGAGTACATGTCTCTGTTGAAACCAATAACATTCCAGAATGTTTGGTGTACAAAAAAAGTGTATGTGTGTGGAAAGCCCAGTCTTGCCTTCCTCCCTGGCCCTTGTGGGTGTTTGAGCAGGTGACCCCAGGTCTGGAGTGGGTGGTGATCTGAGAAAAATCTTGTGTCATTCTTGGGACTGGTGGCATTTGTGGATCTGGCTATGTGCTAATTTACTGAATTGTGCCCCGCTACCAAACTCACGTTGAAGCCCTAAGCCACAATTCGCCTCTGTCTGGAGATAGGGGTCTGTACAAGGTAATCAAGATTGAATGAGGTGATAAAGGTGGGGCCCTAATCTGTGGGCCTGTGGCCTCATTAGGAAGGGGAAGAGAGAGAGCACTCTGTCTTTCCACTATGTGAGGACACAGAGAAGGCAGCCATCTACAAACCAGGAGAACAGCTCTTACCAAGAGGAACCAGATCTACTGGTCTCCAGAACAGGGAGGAATGAGTGTCTGTTGGTTAAGCGCCAGACTGTGGTTTTTTGGTTGTGGCAGCTCAGGCTGACTAAGACACTGTTTTTCCCAAGGGGAATGTGGATCTTCACCTCATTCTGACCTGTGTCTGGGCAGGCAGCAAGTAAAGAGAGTTTAGCAGATGTCTTCCCCATGGGTAAGTATTCCCTACCATGCTTGGTGGTCCTTGAGTACCCTTTTTTTTTCAACACTCCAGCCTTTTTCCACAATGTCTTCATTCCTGGGGGCCACTCTCCTTTGGAAGAACCATCATGCTTTCTAAGACTGTTCTTACCCACCTGCTTCTCATATGACTTGCTGGCTGTAGGGAAAAGACAGATGAAGTTTCAAATGCTGGGTGTTCAAGGTGTAAATAATGGATATCTCCTGTCTCCCTGTTAATTGATGTGTACTATCTCATCTGTCTAAAATTTAATAGTGGAACCAAAACACAGCCAGACTCCAAGGAGAGACTGTACAGCACTGCACAGCAAGCGCCCTTACCCCTCATTCTCTGTTAATGGAAATCATAGCAAAAAACTTATGTTTACTGAGTGTGTCTGTGTTTCAGTCTAGAGCAAAGTATTTTTTTAAGGTTTTATTTATTTACTTTTAGAGAGAAGGAAGGGAGGGAGAGAGAGAGGGAGAGAAACATCAATATGTGGTTGCCTCTCACATAACCCCCCACTGGGGACCTGGCCCACAACCCAGGCATGCTGCCCTGAGTGGTAATCGAACCAGTGACCCCTCGGTTCGCAGCCCGAGCTCAATCCACTAAGCTACACCAGCCAGGGCAGGGCACATTATTTTAATGTCCTGTGTAATAGTATCTTCTGGGGCATAGGTATGATTTAGTCCCTAAATATTTATAATATAAATATTATTAGATAATATTTATATTATTGTTGGAATCAAGTTTGTCATAAGGTTAAGCAGCATAGTGTCTAAAAGTCATTCATTAATTTATTTAGTCACTCAGCAAATATTTGTTGAGCACCTACTGTGGGCCAAGCAGATCTGTCCACTTTGTCTAGAAAACCAGAGGGGGCATTATGGCCCTGAGTGGCCACCTCAAAGGAGAATCTTGGTACAGGACCAGTCTTCTGAGAATCCGTTGAGATACCTATGCCAAGCAGGGCTTCAGTTACCTGGCCAGCAGTCACGTGTGCCGTTAGGGAAGTGCTTGGGGCAGCGGGCAGTAGAGCGGGCCTGCCTGTTGGTCTTGGCTCTTCCACCCTCCTAACTGTGTGGCGTTGGGCAGGGGTCCACCTCTCTCTCAGCTCATCTAAAATGTGGGTCATAGAGAGAGTCGTTGTGAGGATTTAAGTAGCACAGCTAAAAAACAATCCCAGGGACTTAGGAAGTACTTAAAAAGCACGAGCTTTTATAAGCTAATAGAGGCTTTAGAAAAAGTGCAATGAAACACCCATTAGCTTTTGGACACAGGAGCTCTCTGATGACTCTCCTCGATAACTTAATTGAATAAACTAAATTATTTGACTCAAGGAATTGTTGGTTCTTAGTCATTCGGACACTGAGAAATTGCTACCAAAGATGACTCATATTTTTAGAGTACTTGATAGTAGGCCATTTTTCCCAGCTATAATTAATAAGTATGTGTGGGCAAAATCGACACCTAACACGTGTCATGGTCATCGTCAGTGCCAGGATGATTGTTCCTTCTGTCTTCAGAGGGGGATGTGTGTACACTAACTAGTTGTTTGCAAACTTCTGTATGAGGCTGTCCTTTTCATTCAAATTCAAACTGTTTTGTGGACTCCATAAACACTGAAAACAAGCTACATGTATAAGTATAAACAGTGATATGTGTGTATAAGTACTTTCCATTCAGACTACAAACAATATTTGGGGCCTTCATGGCTCTGTGGACCTCTTACAGGAACTCCGTGGCCCCAGGTGTTCGAGAGCCACAAACTGAGATGCACAGACTTCATCCCAGTGTGTAAAGCAAGAGCTGATGTTTATGGAGCATCTGTTACATGCTGGACATGGTCACAGGAGCTCTACAGACGTAATCTCATCTAATCCGTGTGTCCGCTCTGCACTTGGAGCTATGGCAGTCCTTCCATCCCAGACGAGGCAGAGGTAAAGCTTACCTAGTTAAGCAGCGGTGGAGCCAGGATTTGAGACAATGATTTTGATATACCCCTGCGGAGAACCAAATTCATCCTAGTTTATATTTGTTATGGAATGAATGTTTTTGTCCCTCCAAAATAGAATTAAGACAGAAATTCTGGTCAAAGTATAAATTTGTCCTTTAAACCTGTGTTGGTTGCACTCACTGATAACCGCCTAGACAGAAGACCAGAACTAAATTAGCCAGGGCGTGGTTGCTACACAGACTTGCTAACTTCTGTACACTCAGCCTTGAGGAGAGGACGATGAGATGGAAGGACCCCACAGCTAACCAGGAGGCCTTGTGAAACAGGAAGATGTAGGGCAGCTTTGAAAATGCTGGTGTCAGTGGAAACCTTATTTGAACAAATAATAAAGGAGAACTTCCCCAATCTGGCAAAGGAAATAGACTTCCAGGAAATCCAGGAAGCTCAGAGAGTCCCAAAGAAGTTGGACCCAAGAAGAAACACACCAAGGCACATCATCATTATATAAGCCAAGATTAAAATGAAGAAGAGAATCCTAGAAGCGGCAAGAGATAAGGGGACCGTCACCTACAAAGGAGTTCCCATCAGACTGTCAGCGGATTTCTCAAGAGACCCTACAGGCAAGAAGGGGCTGGAAAGAGGTATTCCAAGTCATGAAATCCAAAGACCTACATCCAAGATTGCTCTATCCAGCAAAGTTTTCATTTAGAATGGAAGGGCAGATAAAGTGCTTCTCAGATAAGATCAAATTCAAGGAGTTCATCATCACCAAGTCATTATATGAAATGTTAAAGGGACTTATCTAAGAAGAGGAAGATCAAATGAGCAGTAAAATGACAACAAACTTACAACTACCAACAAATGAACTAAAAGAAAGGAAAAACAATGAAAAGAAAAATTAAGCAAACAACCAGAACAGGAACAGAATAGGAGAAATGGCCATCACTCAGAGGGATTTCAGTGGGGATGGGGAAGGGAGGAAAGCAGGGGAAGGTACAAGGAATAAGAAGCATAATTAGTAGGCATAATTAGATGGGGAGAGATAAAAATGATATAGGAAACAGAGGACTGGAAGAACTTATATGTACAACCCATGGACATGAACTAAGTGGGGGGAATGCTGGAGGGTTGGGGGGGCAGGATGAAGGGGTCTGAAGGGGGAAAAATTGGGAAAACTGCAATAGCATAATCAATTAAAAATACTTTTTAAAAATTCTCACAATAGGCCAGTGAGGCGGTTGTATCTTAATAGCACACATGTGAAAACTGAGGCTCAGTAATGTGAGCTGAAAGTCCACCTTTGGCTTTCTGGAGGTGATTGTGGAGACAAGAGGGAAAAGCGAGAGGGGCCTTGCCTCTGCCAGGAAGGGGGCTCTGTCCCTCCTTGTTGGGTCAGTGTGTGCCCACTGGGCCCTTTTCAGGGGGCTGCGCTTGAAGACATCTGCTCCCCAGCACCCTGCCCCCCACCCAGTGCCTCATGCCCCAAGGTCCCCAGGTGGGGTTTGCCTCTCATGCTGCAGACATGGCAGCAGAGTAAAGGCTTTGCCCAAAGCCACACAGCCTGGAGGGACAGCCATGGTCCACTCCAGGCTCCTCGCATTCTGTGCTTGTGTCACCAGAGTTGTGGCTTTTGTACTTGGATCTACAAAGGGGCCTCAGGGGCTGCCCAAGTATATGAGCAGGAGGCCCTGGGTCTGGGAGCCCAGGCCTTTCGGTTCTGCTCCAGCCAAAACAACCTACAGCAGGGTCTCTCTCCCTGGGCATTATTAACGTCAGGGCTGGATCGTTTTCTGTTGTGGAGCCACCAGTGTACCAAAGAGTAGACGCCAGCATTCATGGCCTCTCCCCACCAGATGCCAGATGCAACACTCCTGCCCCAGGCAAGATAACCAAAACTGCTTCCAGACTCTGTTGGTATTCCTGGAGGTGCACCGCTGCCCCTGGGTGAGAACTCCCAGCCTAGAGGTCACGAGCCCAGATAGCAGAGCCAGACCACTGGGGCTTTTAACTTACCAGCTAAGTGACTTTGGATTAAGTTCCCTAACCTCCCTGTGCCTCAGTTTTTGTGTCTATAAAATGGAGCAGTAATAGCACCTGCCTCCAGGACATTCCAAGGACTAAGTTGCCACATGTTTATGACAGGCTCTGGCTGTGGCGTTGGCACCTCGCATCAGGGTCTGGCTGACACTCCCTGCTCTGTGTTTGGAGGAAGAATTTGAAGAGCATCTCCCTCCATCATTTTCCTCAGATGGCATGCCCACCCAGCCTCTACCTTCTTATCAGAAGCTCCTCTCCTCAGGGACTACTTTCTCTGTCTCAGGACTTGGCCCACAGCTTAAGAATGGAGAGGACACCAGGGAGGACACACTGGTGAGAATAGAGAGGGGCTGAGTGCTGTGAGTTTGGTGCACGTGGCCTGGCCCCCCTTTCCCGGGTCACAGGCCTTCCCTGTCAGGGGTCTGACTAAATCCGAGCACCCTCTGGGAAAGGGGGAGCCTGAAGGGTGGTAAAGCTGTACACGTGCCCTGAATGAAGCAAAGGCTTCATTGGACACCCTACTTGATGCACCAGCGCACACACACCAGGGAGCGGCTGTGCCAGTGTCCTGTGTGTGGGAAGGGCTCCAACTCCAGCACCCACCAGCAGGTCCACATTGGGGAGAAACCCTACTGAGTGTGGGAAGCACGTCAGCCAGAGCTCCGGTCTGGTCATCCACCACCCAGCACACACCAGGCAGTGGCCCTGAGTGTGTGCAGTGTGGGAAGCGCTTCCGTAACAGCTCACACTTCAGTGCCCGCTGCAGGATACACACAGGTGAGAGGCCCTACACGTGCCTAGCCTGTGGCCAGGGCTTCTGCCAATACACTGACGTCCACAAACACCAGTGGACCCACAGTGAGGAGAAGCTCCCACATGGCCACACCAAGGGGGTGCAGCTGCTACTCAGACCCTTGAGGCTCCAGGAATTCCCAGGGCCCAAAGCTTAGCCGCCACACACACAAGTTTGTTGTAATCCCTGAGGCTGTTCCAGAACCAGAAACCCTGACCTTAAGGCACCTTCACACTGACTGTTTGCTCCCCTGGGCCTGGCGAGAGGACGCAGCAGGGGGATGTTTGGGTGGAGTGCTGGGCACAGACCAGGTGAACAGGGTGAACAGGGTGTACAGGGTCCTAGGGCCGCTATACAAAGGACCACAGACTGGGTAGCTTACAACAACAGGAATTCTGTCAGTTCATAAGGCCCCAAGTCCAAAATCAAGGTGGGGTCCTTACAGCACGTGCACCTTCTGGAGGCTCTGGTAGCAAAATCCTGTGCCTCTTCCAGCTTCTGATGTTGCCCACAGTCCTTGAGGTCCCGGGCTCGTGGCAGCACCACTCCCGTCTCTGCCTCTGTTGTCACGATGGCCTTCTCCCTGTGTCTGTGTCCTCTCCCAAGGACACAGTCACTGCATTTAAGCCCCCCTTCCAGTGACCTCACCTCAACCAATAACATCTACAGTGACCCTGTTTCCAAATACCATCACATTTTGAAGTTCTGGTTGGACTAGAATTTGGGGGACACTCTAACCACTGCAGCGGACCCCTCAGTGGCCGTAGCTACTTGCGGCATTACATACCCCATCCTTCCCCTCCAGCCTTGCCACTCTTTAAATGTAGGGGATGAGGGTCTTTTCCTGTATTCCAGTGGTGTCAACAGGACATGGGGTGAGTTGGGAATTACCTTTGAAAATCTAGTTTTGTAGAATGGGTGCCTGGGGTGGGAATGCCTCCCTGAGATTCCATCTCCCCGACCTGGGAGGAGACCTGGGGGTTTGACAGGCCTTGGCACTCTCCCAGGGGAAGGGGCCCAAGTGGCCACGATTCCAGGCCAGCCTCGATTGCCCCACTTTTGTCTTCCTGCAGCAGATGTGCTGTTCTCACTTGTTCATACCCATGGTCTCCTGGGTGGCTGGGGAAAGAGGTATAAAGTCCTTGTTCAGTTTAGTCACTTCTGGAGTCATGGGGTAGCTGCTGAAACCACTGAGATCTGGAATATTCCATCCAGAGGTGTGGCCATTCCTCATTGCTGGGCAGCTGGTCCTCACGCCAGTTCTTTATGCCCCATTCCGGTTTTGTCACTCAACTGCTGTATATATTTTTACCTTTCTATGCAACCCAGGATCCAGGGTGTATGACCTGCTCTTCTCCCTTAATAAATGACACCAGCCCCCTGTGTTCTGTCCTGTGTTCCCTGGAGAACGGGGTCGCCTGGTTTAAAGATGGCACTTACCTTCTAGGCCAGCTTCAGAGCTCTCATGGGACGTGTAGTACCCAGCCAGATCCAGCTGTTTGGTGTTGCTGACCACCCACCTCCCGCTCACAGCCAAGAGCCCAGCCCACTTCTCTCAGGTCCAGACTGTGGCTACAGGTGCCTGTCCTTTTCCTCGTTTGGCAGCTGGGACCGTCGAGTGCCTATTCCATGATATTCTCACAGTCCTATGACATAGGACTTTTCATGAAATCCCTTTCATAGATGGGGAAACTAAGGCCTCAAGAACTGCCTAAGTTCTAAGCACTGCCTCCAGGTGGTAGAACAGGCTTTCAACCCAGGTGTGAACTCCCACCACCTCATCTTCCCCCACCCCCCCACCCCCCCGCTTGCTTTGACAGAGTTACTCTCTGTTAACTTTGACTAAACTTGGAACAAAGTTTACTTTCTATCACTGTGAAACATCATAAGTGAACCTGCTGGCATTAAAAGGGGGAAATGGCTTTTGCTCTTGACAGCTAGGCTGGCAGCACAGATGGAGGCACACAGCATCCAGGCTGCCGTGCTCCCTGCATGTGTCCCAGAACTGAGGGTGAGGGAACTCCCCGTGTGGGGCAGGGCCCGGGGATGTTTTCTGCAGGAAGGCCTCCCCTGGGCCTGTGGCCTTGTGGAAGCCCCTCTTGCATGTGGCTTCTAATGAAAATATCCTTCATGATTGTGAGTGGGGGGCTGGTGGTGGGACCCCCATGGCCAAATCAAGTAGAGTCTAGTTCTGATCTTGACTGCCTGTGGCTGGCTGAGGCTGGGCAGGGCCTGTCTTGCCTGGTGCAGAGCCGAATGGGAAGAAACCCTAGCCCACCCTCAGCGGGCGGCAGCCAACGATGACCCCAGCTGTGTGCTGGAACCCAAACGCCAAGGACCGGGCTGGACTGCCTGAGTCGGCAGCCTGGGAAAACCGCAGATGGCTTTACTGCTCTTCCCGTGGGGCAGGCAGGGCGGAGTGAGGCTGAGACTGAGAAGCGGAGTCTCGGAAACAAGTTGAGGAGGGAACAAAAGTGCCATGTTTCAGGGCTTCAGCCTGTCGGGCAGCAGGGCTGGAAGGCGCAGTTATGAAAGAACCATGAAAGTGAGGGTGCAGGTAGGGGAACGATGCTTGCAAAGTGACAGGGTGACAGAGATGGGAGGGCCTCCCGTGGGCCCTGCTCTTGCTGGCTATTCGCAAGGATACCTTGTGAAACCAGGACAGTTTAGGTGTTAGAACATTCAGTGTTCTCTTCATATTTAAAGACCGACTCCACCAATTCCACAAAGGCACTTTTTATAACATTTATGTGCCTTTGTGGCTTGGGTAAAGAAAAAACATTTCAATTTCTAATTAGAAACATTTCTAATTTCAATCAAAAGTTCATTTGGTATATATGTAGTGTGTTAATTAAAGTACAAAAAATAGTAAGTATCCAGGGACCCAGAAAATCAGGCTAAATTCTCTTTTAAGACCTTTCCCACCTTGAAATTCTCCAAATACTTTTACTTAAATGTTATAGTTTTTAAAAAGACCTTTTTGAGGGCAATAACAGATGCACATTAAAGGGAAAATGCAAAAAATGGTCAAAGGTTAACAGGCTCACGGTTCCATGACAGAACAAAAGCATCGTCTCCACGGGCTTTCCTTTGAGGCCCTTTCGGAGGACCGGGGTCACCTGAGTTGTCATCATGCCACATGTACAATTTTGTGTTGGGATCTTTTTGCTCTAAATGCATGAAAATGTTCTGACCAAATTCTAACAGAGCCAGGTGACAGATCCAAAAGCACCTGCTAAGGGAAACGGGAGGGAAAAGGGACCATCGGGCCTGGGCA